CTATTTGATGCAACGTAAACAGCAATGTGTTCCCGTCAAAAAGCAATCATCTGATAAACGACGATTGGTAATGAGTTGTAAATATCCCGTTCACTACGGCTTCGCGCTGCTGGCATTGGTATGCACCCCCGTTATTGCGTCCCCAGCTCTAAACGACTGCTAAAAACCTGTATAGGACTCTCATGCACATATTCAACCGCTCACTTCCATCTATACGCCTAAATATTCTTATTCAGATACAGACGAGTGCATTTCCGCCTGTGATCATCCACGCCACTTGTTAATTCTTTCGTTTACACTTCGCCCTTTGATTTTCGCACGTCTCTATCGACTAGCCAAAGGTGCCGACAAAGAAAACAATGTCTCAATCGGAAAAAATCGTTACTCGAGGTTGGCTTCGGCCAGACACCAAAGCCGACAATCTCGTTGCCTGCGGAAAAACCGTACACTGGGCGTCCGTCAGCACTGTAGGAGGGTAGAGAGACATCTATAAATCAATATTTGTAATTTTAATAAAAGCTTATTCTATGTTAGCTTTCTGGGCATCCACTCTCCAGAACCTCTAGAACCCTTTTAACAGGCCCAAGGCAACACAGGAAGGAAGAAAACATTACGTCCCTGCCGTCAGAAGAAACGATGAGCGGGAATGGCGAATCACCATTCGAAGCCTTTAAGCCTTAAGTTGTCTTTGTAGTGGTCACTAACGGGGTTCCGCCGATCTGACTAGCGGTGACATATCGACCCGTCGACGTCGTCTCTTTCTCATGCTTTCGCTCCTCAGTGAAGAACTCTACCCACGTGCCATACTTTCACGCTCTGCTTTGTCTGGCCTCACACTCCGCCTGTTCGAAACCCTGAACTAGTCATTGCGAAAAAAATCTGGTGTTACTTTGCAGCTGTCCTGGATCACACCGCGCCTTACAAATAGAAGAACGATCAGTGTTTTCTCGGGCTGAAGCTACTGCACGCATACCAACGAGTTTCGTTGGATAGCAGCTTTTCGTTGGCCCAGTGTTTTGTTCAGTTCTGGGCATGGAAGCTGCACCAGACGGAGGGTGGCCGGAAGCCTTTTATCCTATTTTGCAATTTTTTGCAGTTTCGCAATTTAGGCAATTTTTATTTAACTTGTCTATTTTTTCAGCCGTTGTATTAATAGAGCTCCCCTCCATGAAAGGTTTTCCTAAGCGATAAACTACCATGGGAAACTGAACCTGGTAGTGCTTTGAGAAAAATACGAATAGGCCAAGTGTAGAAAGGGGAAATAAGCAAAATGACACAGAAAAATAAATCTACTCAAGTTCGATACCTATGCCCAATAGTTCATGACTACGGATAACATTGAACCAGTTCGATATGACTTGCGTTTTGGGAGCGGGTCCCACTCCGAAAATGAATAGATGCATTTTTCTAAAATTATATATATATGTATATATAAATATATATATATATTTTTTTTTTGATATGTATATATGAACTTAGTTATATATATACACATGTGAATTCAAGAGTGGATACCAAAAGAACACGATACAATATAATCTGCAATATACAAACAAGCCTTCGGTACCTTCCATATTCGACAGTTCAAGTTCTGAACAGACGCAAACGAAAGCTTGAAATTCACTCAGCAACTGCCCAGACAGTTTCAAACAGCTAACCATAGCGCATAGGAGCGTACCATGGTTGCCCCTTCAGGGGCCTTGGTTGTCAGCTGTCGTGGCGCACTCTGGTCGGTGCTTCCTGCGTTAACTCTGTTTTTGTGGCCAGGTCCATCCATTCTCGAACCACATACTTCACCGCCTATTGGCTGAGGCTTCGGTGTTCAAAAACGGAAACCCTCCAAGGATTGAGTTCTCTAGAGCTAAGGCTACAGCTTCTGGCCTTCGTCGACTCGGCGGTCGACCAAGCATCTCAAGCGGCCGTAACGGTCGGGGCAGAGAGCTAAAATGTGAACGAGGCGGCTAAGATAAAGACGTCACCGCAATTTGGCCCAATGGAAATAAATTGACAAAGTCTTCCAGCCATCCGCCATTTCAAGCATTCAAAACCGGTTCGAAGCTTCCCTACATCCCGTCGCTCTTCTCTTCTAAAGAAAAAGAGATACGAGGGGGAATAGCACGATTTTTTGATAACACACACGCAAATTTTTCGTCCCTACTTGACTGCTAGTGAAGCTAGATTTACCTGAAGCCGAGGAAGTACTCGCGCTATCGTGGCTTTTTGGAGTTATCTGGAAATAGGAAAACAAGGAGTTCCCAAAGAAAGACAAAAAAAGATACGTGGGCAGCTAGGGAAAAGACTTATGAGGAAATAAGAGATAGCAAGTTCTTACATCCCACTCTTCCTAACTCAAGTGTAGCCGTCGATGAATTTCGCTGGTATCTGTGTCCTAGTAGGTTCGATAAGAAAGGCATTCGGAAGGATCTACGCAGGCCATGAAAGGTGTTGTCACCACATAAGTTTCCATTTTTTGACCTCCCCTTACTTTGTCTCTTTTTCTTCTCGTTCTGGCTAGAACTCCTTTAACATATTCAAAAATCCCCATTATGGCTAAAAACGACGTGAAAGGTATTGGGGGCGCAAGAGAAACGCATTATTAATGACTGGAGGCAAGAATTGCTATTTAAAAAAAAAAGCAAATGCAGAGCGCAAAAAAAGGTTCTCGTTTACTATTTATTTTAGCATACATGGACTTAACAATATTAACATTTACTATCTGTTTGCCTTATAGAGACTTGTTAGTATGAATCCAAAAGCAGCTGTAGATGTTCCAACTGTACGCCATGAGACTACTTGAGTACATGCATAGGAGAGTAAAGGCCTACCCTGCACATATAACGTGGGACGGTGTTTCCGATTGAATGAAGTTAGAGGGTGAATTGGGACTACAGAAGGCGTACGGATGGCAGAGGACCCGGGGTGAAATAGCAGTTGAAGACGCGACGGACGCTTCTCATTTTCGACCGCCGAAACGCGTTGCTGGCCAGGTAAGACAAAGTGAAGCGCACTGCAATCCCTTGTGTACCGCCGTCTTGCCCCATAATATTCAACGACTTATCGCCGTCCAGCGAATAGCGGCGTACGTTAGACAACAGAATAGCGACTAGTGAGCGGTGAAACAACGTGCTCTGAACCACGAGTTGTGTGAGGCGGGTTGTTTCAATCACTGGAAAAGGAGCAACCAAACATCCGTATTTGGCGACCCTAGTTGCTATCGCTGCTTGAGTAACGTTCTCCGTTGACTCTGATTACGCTTCGTACGACTACCATTCTTTAACTAAGTTAGGCTAAGGACGTAAAGAGCCGAACCGGACGGGGATGCACAGCAATGATAGCCGACACACAGTCCTGTGAAGCCGGCCAGCATCGTGCGCGTTTAATTCTGCGTCCGCTGGTCGGTATGTTGCTCCTGTTCCACAAGATAGTTAGCCACGGACACCATATTGAGACGTAATTGCAGCGACGAGCGGTTAGGGCACAAATCAGTGGGTTTGAAGGGACGTCAGCTTGGAGGAGAGCAAAGGAAGAGGCAACTGGGGGTAGAAAGAATGTAGGAGCAAGATATTCTAGGCAACGCCTTTGTGTGCTTGAGATACATAGGCTGAGGCACATAGTGGCGCTGGTAGGTGTTGGAAACTGAGGGACACTGAGTTGAGAAGGAAAATCTCAGTGTGGACGCTAATCTGGTTAGGCCTGCGGGTTGGCCGACCAGGACACGAAACATGAAAAGGCAGTAAACCAACACACTGCGAGATTATGGGTTAGTCGGAGTTGTGCCTGCTGCTCGATTGTTTGGCAGTAGCGACAGTAGACGCACAAGCAAAAATGAACGTGGGCGAAAAGAACACGATATTCAAGCAACCGTGGAGAAAGCGTGTGGGAAAGAGGGAAGCTGAGAAAGAAGGGACATATGGACTGATGGACCGACGATAGTGTTGGACTAAGAACTGAAATGCTGCTTGCCCCGACCATACGAACAAGCAACATGAAGATTAGTTGCTCCGACCGCTTCTTTGACTGGCTGGCTGCCTAGCTTGCGGACCACTCACCTAACCGATGTAGCAACCCGCGGCGAGGTCTGCTTTCTCAAGCTTGTTCTCCTTATGGGATATCACAAAACGAGCAAAAGCTTCTCTACCTTAAGGACAGCGACATAGGACACTTCCGCTGCCGTTCCTGCTTGTGCCAGTAGCTTGCCTCCTAAGACTCCTGCCAGATTCGGTCAACTTGTTCGTCTCCTTCCCACTTTTTCTCTTTTCTTCTCCGTCTCGCTCTGATTTTTCTCTCCCGCATGATCCTACAGGACCTTATGTGACGCAGATTGTCTGTTTCGAGCCTTCTCTTTTGGGTAACGCACGGCCTCAGTGGCTACGATCGGCTACTACGAAAGACATTCGACCAATGGGGTTTCTGTTAGCGCTCCAACGTATGGCAGCCAGTCACCGCGGGAAATAGAGAAGCATAGCACACGAACGACAGAAGCCAGCAAAGAAATTAATATATATGGCTAGCAAAGTACGTCTTGATTGCCAATCAGAAGCCTGCTGGACCTGAAAAAGGATTGCCTCGACGAGTTGAAATACCTAAGCATGTCCCTTTGGTCTGTAATGGGGACCATGCGACGTGAGCAGTTATACAAATGTGGAGGTTGTGTCCGCCGTGCCGGATATAGCTTATCTGCGAGCAGCATGTATATACGTATGTATCTATTTCTATACAAGGTATTTCGAAATGCATTAACTGTCGAACGCTATGGAGTAAGTAATGTCGATGCTGCTTCCAGAGTTCTGGGCTAAAGCATACGAATTAAAAGGCAATGCATATTTCATTCAAAGGACGGGACAAAATTAATCTGTGAGCTGCATAGGCGCTATGGTTTGATCAATTATAAAATTTAGCAGGCGGGCGGGCCCAAGCGTCGTCAAACCCCAGCACAATGAAATCTCGAATGTCGCAAATACAAGGAATTTCTTTGTGTAAACCAAAATGCTCCCGTGTTTAAAGCAATCGATTCTTCCTTCTTGCCCTTTCGTTGGCCTAACAAAATCTACTCAAAAATATCTATATAACTTATAAAACAGTCTAATTTAGTCTGTTGGCATGGAACGTTGCAATTTACTAACGATACTGTTAGATACTACTTTATCATCCGTTTGCTAAGTACAGTCATTGCACCGCATCGATGTTATATAATACATTAATATATACTGAACTTTAGTCGTTAAGAATTTCTCCATATCGGACATAACCAATCGTATCGTAGCACTTGGCATGTACCATATCGTATTCGAGCATGTTGGTTTCATATACTAACGCGGCAATTCCTGCAATCCACCAGTTTTGACTTCGATTATCATCGTCTCGCTCTCCCTATCACCTCAGCCAGCTCCCACTTAAGTATCGAAGTTCCGCATTTGACTAGTACCGCATTAAGCACTCAATAATTATGTAGTGCAAGCCATTTACCACTGCTGACAACAGCGTGGCATCGCGAAACAATCGCTCTACCGGTACAGGATGCCATACACAGCCTACACGCAGCAGTGAAGGCGAATCCGTTTGTCTTTGGCATACGGTTGACGTATAGATGAACGCGACAAATCGCCATCCGTCGTTTTGTTTTCCGCCGTCAGATCCGGGTTCATCTATGACCCTCGGTAGCATCGGAGCAGGCGAAGCAGAGCGGGCAGTAATGAACGCCGCCTGGCCGTCTACTATCAGCCCGCCGGACGCCATAGCCAGCTGCAGGAGGTTCCATCTGCTAGTTCATTATTCTATGATGACGACAAATGGACAGACGGACAGGCAACGCTGCTGCGTAATCCGGCTGTAACCTGACGGAAGGCTCTCGAACACTTCGAATAAAATGGCTAGTTACGGCACTAGAACATAGGTTAAAACAGGTTGCGCGGCTCGGCCTGCTTTTGCAGCTTACGATTCAAAAACACGGCGACTACCGCGATAGCGACTTACCTCGGTCACCCGGAAGACCCAAGAGACTAAGAGCCGCGTGCCGTCTATCTCTGCTGACGGAGTAAGCGAGATCAGATAGCGAATTTCGTAAGAAGCCGAAGATTCAGACGGGAACAGACATCCAGGAAAAGAAGCGGGGATCAAGGGCTTGAGGGGTTCGAGAGAATATTCTACTAACTGCATCGGGGCTCAGGCGTACGCTCTCATGGATTCATTTTTGTTCCGTTTATTATTATGGTTACGATTATTGTTATTGCAAAGCACTGGTAATAAGGACAGCATTACGGCGAAGATATATCCCACGACCCGTTTTTAATATACGAATATGGATATACACATGTCGCTTGCAAGCCTCAACGCAATTGCATAGTTCAATTTAGCCCAGCGGTTATAAGTTGCGATTTCAACCGAATACCAGGGTCAATTAGGTGCAAAATAAGCTAGAGCCTCGTAAGCAGAGGTTAGAAACGGCGACGAAAGGAAGGGAAAGCTGTTTCATAACGACACGGAGATTACGCTTTTACAGTCGCCGGTGCCTGTGAACTTTGGGCAGCAGGTATAGCAGTTGGCCGGAACGTGCTAATTTCACATTCGAGATCCTTGTTGATGCTGAGTACGCCGGCGGCGTTGTCGAATTGTCCGCAGTAATTAGGCGCCGAGAAGATAGTGAGTAGTCGTTGATCGGCAAAAAATTCGTGGCCTCTTGTACAAAGCTGGTGGCCGCGACATATGAGGTCTAAATCGAAACGCTCCAGGAACTCCTCCACCTAATAAAGATAAGTATAGGTTTGTAAGTAGTTACAATTTAGTTAATTTATTTAAAAAAGCTAGAACGATTCGCGGTGTGTGTGTGTGTGTGTGTGTGTGTGTGTTGTATTTAGCGCTCTCACTTCCTAATAAGTAAGAGCGCTAAATACACAGGCTAGAAAGTTTTCATATGAAGTCTTATATCCATGTCTCTTATAAGAAAGGATTGGGCTAAATGGGCCAAAATATGCTTAAAGCAATTTGGGAAAGCGAAAAATGTTTATTGGCATATTCGTCAAAGACTTGATGCTGTGGCTGAAACGAATCTATTTACTCATATTTGAAATAATTTCAAACTTTATATAGTGGGGTCATATAGGCCAGATAATTTCGTATGAAGAAATCAGTCATTCAATAACACTAACGAGAAAATGCTTTCCTATCGACCAAAAGCTGTGATCATCAATTGAAAAGCCGGTGCTTTATAATCATTTATCACCAAGATAGGCAGGTCAAGATTTACCATGATTCATTTATCATAGATCCTAATATTCTGCTGCGTAGTGTGAAGCCGACCTTTGAATGGCCCAGGTATTGGCACACCTACGAGTTGCACTTTGTTTGTGAAGGATAGAGAACAGTAAGAACACGGGCACCGTTTTCGGTAGCCAACTTTGCCAGCTTGGAACCTGCCGTGGTTATGCATGATTCCGATTATCCATAGCGCATATTGATTTATGATCATAATTATCTGGAGTGCGGAGCATATTCTGATAGTATTTGTTTTGTCCAAACGACGCGCTTTCCAATAAATGTGGCTCGTTGGGAACAACGCCATGTAATACATTGAATGCAAAACGACGACGCTACAGCCCGAACTTCACTCCTATACACGTCCGTATTAGTTTCAGTTTTACTGTGAGATCATTTAGTTCTTTCTATTACCCTGCACAATCAGCATCGATGGAATCGGGTTTAATGTATGTTTAAATTGTAATGGCTCACATAGCCACGCCACATCCTACCACACTTCATCTCACTTTGGCCCATAGAGCCCCATTGTGACCATGTAAGTGTAATGACCTGTTTTTACTTCTTGAAAAATGCTTTGGGACAGGCAAAAACCTGTGATAGAAAAGCGGCATGGTCATTTTGATCTTTGACCGTTTAAAAATTCGAGTAAATGCTAAAGAGAAATTTGGATTTTTCCATATAACCCCACTTTTTTTTAAAGTTCGATAAAACAAGAAAATTCAGTAACGTAAATTGTACGAAATTTCTAACTCGCGTGACTCCTGAATGTTTTAGTATTAAATCTAAATCAACGTGCTCTTGCTAGAATCTAAATCAACGTGCTCTTGCTAGAAACAAACGGAGTGCCCCTGTATGGCCTCACTTTCTCCCATATATATACATATATATAGCTTGAAGGTTTTGAGGCGACATAGTTTGCAAGTAACCGCCTGTTGGTGAACTTTCTTACCGATACTAAGATCATATAAGGCCGCTGCTATTCACTGTGTAGTATAATAAAAAAACTTTCAAGATAGGAATAAATAATATCACCCCAAAACGCATAAATGAGAAAAAATTAGATCTGAAAAGGGCAATATTTGACATGTTGCAGATATTCGGCTTCCGAAATAGATTTCTCGGGAGATGCCACCGGCAAAGCCGCATCGAACATAGAAAAGCTTTTAAGAATTATAAAAAATTTTTCAGTCATCTAAAATAATAGGGAAGGCAACATCTACACACCTGTTTAGGTCCAAATACAACTGATATACCTCGTTCAAGGTTGTCGGTGAAATTTTCGGCCGCAGGATGTGGATCAGCCCAAAGAAGATCAGTGAGCAGGCCCTGCTTGGGAACTCTAGCAGGTCGTGGAATATCGCGTATCTGATCTAGGTTATGCAAACGGGGCGAGATGCCGCCATGCACACAAAAAATTTTCTCACCAACGACGGCGGCCACCGGCATATACGCGAAAGCAGAGCCAAACCGCGCGTAGATCTCCAAGTTGTACCTGATCAAGAGAGAGATAGACACAGGGACGTAGAAAGACACTTGGAAGGGTAACGTGCACGAGATTACGTCGCCATCGCCTTCCTTCTATAGAACGATAGATCGAAAATAAGATGCTGTCTGTGCGAAGCTTTACAACAATAGATTGTGGCCAGAACTCTACTTACCGACTAGTAACCTCTTGGAAGAATCCGTACCTTCTATTAACCGGCTGCACCTCATGATTTCCTCTTAATAAAAACACCGAGGTAGGAAAACGTACTTTAAGGGCAAATAACAAAGTTACTACTTCAAGGGACTGTTCCCCACGATCGACGTAGTCACCAAGAAACAGGAATCGCGTACCCGGCGGCAGTCCAGTTTGGTCAAGCAGTAGCAAAAAATCTCGAAACTGTCCGTGTAAGTCCCCGAATACTCGCAGTGGCGGAGATACCCGAAGAAGCATTGACTCTTCGCTGAAGACCTGCTGAGCTCGTCTAGTTACTTCCAGTAGTTCACGATTCGTGAGCTGTACCCGGGCACAGGATCCATCCGCGGTTTGTCTCGCTCCTAGTAATTTTGACAAGATACCATCGATTACGACGTTGTTGTTATTGTTGTTGTTGTTGTTGTTGTTATTATTGCTGTCACGTAATGTGGGCGCAGCTGGCGCAGGTGGCGCTGGTGCTACTTTTGGAGATTTGGGTGGAGCTGTTAGTGCTGCTGGTGTTGATGATACTGGCCCTGACATCGTTTTCCTAACGATAAGATTACCAGCCTAGGTCACTAACCAACCTCTCGAAACGATCTGGGTAAGGAAGGAGGGACTCACAGTGTCGTTTTTGATCGTAAGCTGCAATCATGAAGCTTGAAGCATAACAAAAGTTAAGCGCGAACAGTTATCTCGGACGAGTGTGGCAAAATCAAAAATCATTTACTTCATCATAGTGCGATGCTGCGAATTAATCCCAAATTCTTGTTGTTTGATATAACTGAGCCGAGGTCCGCGTTTGGGTCCTCACTAGTTTGATTCGTTTGTTTATTAGAGTCAGGAACACGTAGTGGTTCGAAACTTATCGTAGGTAAACTTCGTTTTGTGCATGAGTGCTGAGTGGCAGCACCATACGTAGAACTGAAGATATTCATTTAGGTATTAATCGAACAAAATGTAGATCGAAAATCATGACCGCACTTGAACATCGCCACTAAGCAGTTAGGACACGTATAGCTCAAAATAGAATTAACATCAAGCTGAACCTTAAATGTTGTAGCAATATAAAAAAAAAACATGATTTGCATACCAGTTTCCATTAAATACCTAATAGCGTTTGCCGACTTTCCGTTTCTTCAGAGGGCGAACGGCATCAATCAATTAATGTCTTGATTTGAAATTAGATTTCGGCAAATTCTGTTCCGGCCGTTTTTGGCTTGACTACGCTAAGAATTCAGTGAGGAACACCGCGCGATTTTCGACTGCAGTTGCTCGCAAAGCTTTAGCTAAAACTCTCACAACTGACAACGTACCTGATTTCTATTCAGTAACGAACGTTGTTTCTGTTTAAACCCTTATTGTCGCATAAGATTATCGAGATGAAAAAAGTATCTAGCCGAACTTGTCGATCAGGCCATGCGAGAAAGGCTTTATATACTATATTATAGCTGGAACCGTAGCCCTTAAAAATATTCCTACTTCGAACTTCGAATTAGAAGATAATACATAAGCTTCATCACCTGCTGCTCACTCTCGTCACCCGTCTCTGCTCTGTAGCCATTTTATCAGACCAATCAAAGTATACTAATCACACATTAGGTAGAGATCAAAACAGGCGCGGTAAATGACGCTTATGGCAACATGATATAATAGAGTAGACGATGTGTGTGGGGTAGCCCGGAATCCATTTTCGCCTTCGGACAGATTTACTGTCAACAATTGTCTATTTTCATTGCCACGATATGGCAAGTGGTAATGGTGACAGCAGACTGAAATTGTAGCCTTCAACATCTACAATAGGGTATGGCGCGCACATACGAGGACAGACACACAATTGAGATGACTTGCCTCAAGTCAACCGGTCTGAGCAGCTGAGCCTCGTCGTTCGTTCAAATCGTCCATTTGAAGATCATCGTCCTATCGAACGTATTACCGCTTGACGCAACCGACTATGCTGGACTTGAAATGATGGGTTTCGCCAAAGCAATTGGCAAAAAATAGTAGGTTGGGTTTGTATTTTTTCCGCCCAATGCAGCATTGAAGTCAAAGTAACGATTTATAGTTTCTGTCAATTAGACACTGAAACGTATATAACATTCAGTTATAAGCAGACGGAATTCAACGTGTACACATTGTTTCAATTTTAAGAGAGCAATTATCAGTAGACTTGTAGATAAAGCGGTCGTTGATTGCAAATAATTATCAAAATTGAAAGATAAAAAATATTTCGTTTATCAGTAGAGTATTTATATAAGCGTTTATAAGGACTTTTCACTTATTGCTAGATAATCTGAATACAAGTGATAATTAAAAAATTATTTGCTTGCTACTCTCATCAGGCGCATGGTGCGTATATAGCGCCGCACTATGATCGTACCAACGTTCCCCAATGAAGGAACTATTGCTTCAAAAGCATACATATTCTATGTCAAATGAGAGTTACTTTAGACGTGTTCCTCTAAGTAAAGTAAAACAAAGCAGTCCTGGTCATCTTAACCGAAATAAACGTTTATTTATTTAACCGACCGCACTACGATGAAACCCGTTCTAAAGAAGAACTATATATCTGCAAATGAGTCAGTGTTTGTAAATCATAAAATTTCTGTGCTTTTTCATTTTTAAAATTACTGATTATTAGATCCTTTATTGTGGTACACATACACGGTCAGAAACATACAATCCGCTTGATCTTTTTTCTTATTTGATTATCTTCCTATTTGACTTCACATTCTCCGTCTTGGATTGAAAACAAACTAGTCGGTTCAGTAAAATTGAACAGTTGAACATTAAAAAAATGTCCGTTTTTTGACTAACGCTCTACCCGTATCGATCGCAGCCGCATCGGCATCGATGAAGCCATCATCATTTTGAAATTCCGGAACATCAATTCGGCTGATGCCATCCACCGTCAGTTAGTTATTGGCCAACGGCCACACCAAAGCTAACGAGGAAGACAATGAAGCAGACGCGGCAGTAAAACTGTGGCGGTATCAGGGTGAACGCCGGTAAAGTTGAAGACTTCGGCGACTTTGCAGTAGCGGGCTCAGCGCAGTGGCAACAACACAGCCGTGATTTCCTTACTAACGGCGTACGAAATTCAGCCGAAAGAAGGCTACTGACGTCGAGCTGAAGACTTGGAAGGTGAAAAAACGGAGGTGACCATTAGAAGAGACGTTGCTCATCACGGAGAGAACGGCTAACCGGTTCTTCAGTCTTTAATACGTCTTCGGTTGTTTCAGCGGTTCTCCATAGTTTAATTCGCTCTGCGAGATGCTGCTGTGGTGGATAGTTTGCCGGCTTGCTGATTGTGCCCTGTAGACCTTCAATACCGGTCGATCGACTATCGAAGCTTTTTCTTCCGCTGGTTTGTTGTATTGAAGATAAAGAAAAGGTTAGCATCAAAGCTAGCTGGCTTTTCGTGACCGGTGTTTTATATAGTGGAGGCAGACTGTTGGAGTCCGGAGGTGTGGAGGATAAAGTGCATTGGGGCTGTGTAGAAGAAATTCAACCGAAGCGGCTTTCTTACAGCGACAAACGTTTTTTAGTCAGAATGATCGTGGAAATTGAGAGAGATCCAAAAGGGTAAGAAAGCGGTAATAAATATGGTTCAAATTTTGTGTGTAGTATGGAAGGAGCACAGATGTTTTTGCGAAAGTAATTTAATGGTACAACAACTATAAAAACAGGAGCTTCGGAACCGCTAGGTGACTACGAATACGTTCTTGGGACGGTGTAATAAGTAAAGTGCTTGTCCGCTAATCTTGAGGGACACGTGGTGGTCTGGGTTCGAATCCGAGCGTAGACACACAATTAGTTTCGTGCTGTGAACCAGGCGTCTGATGAAATGCCTGTCGGCGGTACCGGATGTGAAACTCAAAACATTTAGGTGACTACAGATACAAACTGAGTATTCTAAAGATATGGATACTGTTGTGTGACCGCTTTAGTACCTTTAGACAGCTTACTTTGGTTCATAGCCAAATCAGAAGAGATGCAGGATCATTTTATGCAAATAAATAAATGTTGCTATGTGATGAGCTGTGAATTTGTGTTGAACGATTTTATATATCATGGATTTTTATTATGTAAAAACTTTTTACTTGAACAAGCAAAAATAATTTATATCTACGTGCCATTGTTACATCTTTAGCGTGCATGCTCGAATTCAGATGTTAACTAAGAAATACATCTGAGTCAATATTGGTACTTAAAAATTGGTTAAAAGCTTACTGATATAGCTAGTGGTGATAGAGGTTCTGCACTCTTTATATACAACAACGAATAGCTTATTCGGGAACAGCGCTGTTAGCAATTTCTTATTCATCAAAATTTCACAGTACTCCGTTCGTTATGTGCCAAACGAATGATTATCTTGCATCATCACAATCATACAGACTGCTAACTTAACAAATGATTGCAGGTTCAAAACCGAGTCGAGGCCATAAAACATAATTTTTTGCATTAATCTAATGGCGTTTTCATTAGTAAAGAAGTGTTCTGTGGTCAGATTTTTATGGGACGTTTATATCAAAATAGGTATTGACTATGTCTTGCAAATCAAGAAATAAGTACGATATAACAGATATAACGTAGAATGCGGAAAAATATTGGCCATATGTAAAAAAACAGGATATAATCCACTTCATTGTATCATCATGTTGATATTACAGAGATACGATTTTATTTTTTTCAAAGTTCGTAAAATCTATATTTATAGCTATATTAGGCTTTGACTAAATGTTAGCATTTGGCCCTGCGCCTCTTGACGACATGTTGACAAATCTGTTGCCATATCTTATTCCTATAATAACTGATATCATAATGTTCAAAATTCAGCGGACGTTTGAGCTGGAGCACCTGACCTAGCCGTTGTCGCACGCCACCGGATCGGTCAGAGGCATTATGATATACGAACACTAAATAAAGGGTGCTCCTGGATTTTTTTTTGACAGCAGTTGCGTGCATATATTCTGCCCAAAGGTGAATCTAACAAAACAAAACCAAAATAAAAACAAAGACAAAAATAAAAAATATAAAAAAATCTAACAAATAGTCACTCTCAAAAATCTCAACCCTTTTATCATAAACACGTAATAGCTATTAGTTGCTAGGCCATTCCTTTTAGCTAGGCATGAGCAAACAAGAAAAAAGAAAGGAAGAGCTCATATCCGTCTCCATTTTGCTGGCGATTTTATTAACCATCTATCAACCTATAGTAAAACTAAAATGCGTGTGTTAGATGTATTATGCCAGTATATTTGTTGTTTAGCGTAGTTCAAGCAGTTAGGGTTTTTACTCCAAGTACTGTATCGTTGAAGGAAAACGAGCAAATATATTGGTTTGCAATTTAAACATTTACCTAAAAGAGATCCCTTACATTGTCCACTAAAACAGCTAAGAGAGAGAGCACAGTTTGTTAGCGTGTTTTTCAGTCTCGAAAGTTTCATTCGGAGACCACGTAGAATTTACGCTGCGTTCCGAAAACATATCCATAATAACCGGGTTCTAGAATTTCTGCAAAAACTATATAAATTTACATTACATTCAAATCATATAGAAACGCAAAAACAATTTTCAGTTATATAATCCTGTTAAAGATTGGCATATCAACGATAATGGGAAAAACCGAAACATACGTAATAGGCCGATTTACTGGTTTTCTCTCATTGTCCAATATGTGAATGGTTTCCTGCTGTATATGTATCATATTCCAATATAAAGCTGAAAGATGGTCATGTACGGCTACTTTTGCACGCTTTAACACGTTGTTGGTTAACGACCGAATGGTAATAATAATAATAACAGAATCCTTGTAAGTCGTGCTCACTATGCCATGTAGTATATATTCGCTTCAGATTACGAGCTGATTCGTATCGAGCAAAGCCAGACCGTTTGGTCCACAAAAAATAAAAGGTCGAATCACTGCTCGTATTCTTACAGGGCTATATAATTTTGTTAGATTTATCTGGTAAACTGCAGTAAACCTTTACATTCTCATCATTCTGTCCATGTATTCATCTACCCCGATAAATATAAGTTACATTTGCAGAACCTCGAAAGATTATATATATATTATGCTTTTCTTTTATTTCAGCTTAGGGCGAGAAAATGGAGAAGTAGCAACACTGGTTGAAGCGCTATTACATGAACGAGCTTCGGCAGAAATCTACGACGACTTCAGCGGAACAGCTTTAGAAGGAATCGTAAATAAAATCGTCATCGACAAAAGCGATAAGAAAATTGTTCCCGTACGTAGTCCAACATTGAAGTATACCATAATTGTCTAGACCGCAAGCATATGACAGCTTTTCTTAAATATTAAGCTTTATTTGTATAAAATGGCTGATGAAACAATTAAAAAAATTAAAACTTACCGCCCAGTTATATGCTATATCTGCTATTAATTCAAAAAGGCTATCGTTCCTTAAATTTAAGGAATATTTCATGTGTTTCAGTCTTACCACTACTACACTCTCAACACGGATGGCTTCGGAGCTGAATTTATCGAGTCCGACTCTACGTGCCTTAATGCCGCCTACGTATTTACACTGCCCTGTAAAGAATTTGATGGCATCTGGGAAAACCTGCACTTTGATTCAGAAATTAAGAACAATGTAAGTAAATTCAATTGTTTCGACAATTTTCGCCAGGGAATAGAGTCAGCAGTGGTTTTAAATGACTATGTGTTGTGCGGCGAAATCAAAGTTTGCTAGATTAGTGGCCGTTATAGTAAAATAAATAGAAATTATTCAAAAGCTACTCATGACGCTGTTCACAAGTCACGAGGCGTAACAGTTACTAGCGTGCGATTTTTCCTTGCTTCTCACTTTTATTGCCCCTCTTGTTTGCAGTTGCTGGACTACTTGATGAAGGCGCTCCTATTCGCGGAACGGGGCGTTGACCACAATGTGATCTCCTTCAATAAACTTGTTCTCCTACATGGTCCGCCCGGTACTGGCAAGACTTCGTTGTGCAAAGGTGTCGCACAGAAACTGGCCATCCGATGGACGCCTCGGTTTCGTACTGGTCATTTTATAGAAATTAACGCCCATTCACTTTTTAGCAAATTTTTTTCGGAGGTTAGTAGCCTGAAACTATTCGCTGGCATTTTATCCATGCACAATCATCTACATATAGAAACAGACGGCAGAGTTATTTGAACCATTGATGACCAAGTGAAAGGCCGCTGCTAGCTGTGTTAAAAGTGCATTCACAAAAGCCTATCTGAACTCTAAAATGTTCCTCTCCAATTTCTGTCCCATTAGAGCGGTAAGCTTGTGCTAAAGATGTTCGAGAAGATCGAGGAAATCGCTAGCGATGAGGCGGCGCTCGTCTTTATTCTCATAGATGAAGTTGAAAGCCTCGCCCACTCCCGAGCAGCAGCTGCAGCAGGCAGCGAACCTTCCGACGCAATTCGAGTGGTCAACGCCGTCCTTACTCAGTTGGATCGACTCAAAATGTAAGCGGTCAACATGCACGAGAGATACGAAAGAATCAAGCGGAACTTCATTGTGAAAGCAAATTATACGGATGTTTTTTCTTCTTTTTTCAGTGAATTTTTTAATCATATATCTTTTAGTTTGTAAAAAAATATGTTTATTACTGCTTTCAACATTTGTGTCGTATTTTATTTGGTTTTACTTTACAGGCTGCCAAATGCTTTAATCTTGACGACGTCGAATGTAGAAACTTCGATCGATGGCGCGTTTGTTGATCGGGCAGATCTCTGTGTGTATATCGGGCATCCTTCACCACCAGCCATTTCAAAGATTCTTGCATCTTGCGCTAAGGAGCTAATTAAGGTATACTTGCCAGTTCTAGTGAAATGGAAAATCAAAAGTACTCCTACAGAAAGGTTGAGTCCATTTAAATATGTTTCGAAAAAATAAAATATTTGAATAATCATAGAATACTGAAAAACATTATAAAGGGAACCCATAATGGTTGCTTTAAGAAAATTTAAAACTTAACGGCGTTTGGGTTTGATTAGGTTATTCAGAATGCTTTTTGTAGATCTATGTTTTGTATATATATTTAATCCAATATGAATTGTACCCTTGCTCAGTCCATAGACCAAACGTGACCTTATCGCATGAAGTTATGACGAATCGTTTTTCAAGTTAAACTGATTTAAACTTTGATTTTAGCGGAATCTTTTAGAAGACAAGGCGTTTGCCGAGAGTTCGGAGTTCGCGAACATTTGGACGGAGATTTGCCGATTATCCGTCGGAGTTAGTGGACGTTCCTTGAGGAAGCTGCCTTTGCTGGCATTTTGCGAGGGTCATAACCCGATGCCGATGGCTTTGTTCCTTGACGCCCTCTTCAAGTTGGTCAAATCAAAAACAGCAGAAAAGAAATTGTCCCAAACTCATCACATGTTCCAGTCTATTAGTCTCGTGTAATGCAGCCAACACTACTAGTAGAATGTTAGTATATTTATCGCTGATTTCCACTCTAACATACATATGTACGAATTAGCCATATCATAAGGAAGAACGAGGTCGAAGAAAGCTGAAATGATATTCTACTTAGTTCGCGTGTAGATTTACGATGCCCGTTTGGAGAGGTTTATCAGAATGTGTGCGCTCTTTATATTGCGTGTCTTAAAAGGAGAGAAGTAAATCAGGAGAAACTAATATGGTCGTACTAATACTCCGTTATTGTTGCGGGAGGTTGCAAGGACTGAATTGGGCACAGACTGCTAATAAAATTAGGAGTCAACCGTCTTCACTCGTCACTGATTGTCATTGAACAGATACGCGCGTAGCCTTTTGTTCTATTAAGTGACCACTTTGGTGATATTTTAAGTGTGTGGCTCATATAAGTACTAATTGAAATAACCTTATACAGCACTTTTTAAGGAAAAGAAAACCGTAGATATTCCAAAAATCCGAAGGATATGCACAAAAATTGCAATTAAATGAAGACAGAAGAATATGAAATGTTTAAAATATACTCGAACTTGTAAAAGTAGCAAGCGAAATGGAATTTTGTAAAAAGTTGTGTTATTTCAGCAATGATTTATAATAAAATCCTCTAATATTCGCACGACTATTGGATAATATCTCTCCATTTATTCATTTATCTATTAAATGTTTCATAGATTGGTACGACTTGTTTCGTCCAGTTCTGAAGAACACAACCAATATGTAAGGCCTTTACAAGAGAATATAATCACACTATTTAGAATTCACGTTGTTCGAAAATAGGTGCAGTCTTTGGATAAGATATATTTCAGTTTCACGTAGCTTAACTTACAAGTGCCATCGATGACTATTTGTACATAATCTAACTTGCGTAAATAAATTCGTGACCACTTTTGAAGATTACTCAAGTGTTCTTAGTAATAAGCACAGTGTACACTGTACTTCAGAAACCTTTGCTTATTCATAGATAATAAAATAATAATAATAATTTATATTACTATAACACGCAACTTTTATATGCTCTACGGAAAATCGCGATTTGCGCCTTCATTTAGTCACAAAACACTGTTTAATATAAGCTTCTGTAGAAATACAAACTCGATATTTGTAGCACCTATTAGACTTTTCTATACACATGCAATATGTTCGGTACTCTCAAAAAATAACCGTCGTAAAACCTCTACCAAATATAGAGTATCGCAAACCACCTTGCCTGACATTGAACTTGACAGTTTCCTATGGAACATTAACGAATCTTGTTTGCTTCACTGGCCATATAAACTGTTCAAAGAACGGGGGCAAGCGCTGCCCATATTTTTGCCACAGTGTCTTCGAGCCGTACCGTAAAAAATACATTGCTTGTTTTCCGTTGCTCAATATTTCGACTAGCAAGAATTTTAAAAAGACGGCGAGGGAGCATATAAATAACAATAACGATAAGTAATATGGATTACCTTAGGTTTCCAATCTCAAGTCGGGTCGAAACTGAAAGGTGTTTGTTGAGGTGGACTAAGTCTGCTTTTTGTGTGGGTGATACAGTGGTTAACGGGCCTGAGCAGACCCTTCATTCAAAAAAATTTGACTTGTTTCATAGACTGATGTAAAATTTGGTTAGGGCCCTGTCCTCACGTTAGACATTTAGACAGTAATGGAAAATTTCTAACATAATTTAAAGCAAGTTTCTTAAATCCTAAATAAACTAATGTCCACACTTAGCCTATAAATCGCACAAAAGATATTTCCCCGAAAATATAATATTCGAAAAATATGTATTATTTAGAAAATGAAAATTATGGAGACCTATGTACTCTTATACTTATGGTTCCGTCACTGATTGCATTAATAAAACATAAAAGAAGACAACATTTTAAAGTACTTTTCCGCACACGTCCAAAAAATATTTCTGACAACCTGAATTCGAAAGAATCTGTCCAGTAACAATGAGTGATCACAAGTGAATGTTAAAAAGCCTGAATTTTTACAGCGAGACGCTAAAAGGGCTTACGTTAATGCATATCAGTATGTACAAATAGAATACTCATCAGGTTAATTCGCGCTGGGCACAAATGTACGAAACAAATTATAGAATATGTTAAAGTACACACATATTATGGACCTCACAGTTACACAAAGAGCGAGGAAATCGCTCAATGATGCAAAATAAAGCAGGAGTATCGTCATAATTATTACCTTAATGTATGATATCTGTGATACAGATGTATGTGCTGCGGCTTCATTACTTTACAGTTTGTGTACACTTCTTATTGGGATTTGCGAAAATGAAGTTGATCCATTTCACCGAAACTTTCTATTTTAGCTAGCACTTTATATGAAATCAAATAAGAAACACCTGTAGCGAGAAGCCTGTACTCTTTGTTAGTGCCTTTTTGAAAAGTTACTGAACATATTGGTTCATTTGGTAATTCATTTATTGGTAATTAAGTTCGTGAATTAATCTTCTTGGTTTTAAAGTACGGACGCAGTGATTTTTTTTGCTACCCTCTGTAAAATCGTTTCTAAGATGTCCAGTCCTAGAGTATGACTATAGACGTCATCGAAGCGTTTGAGCATCTTTGCGGCAAAAAGCAGGTTTTAGAATTTCAACTACACCAGTCACGTTCTCTTTCTTTCAATCAAAACTTTATTTTCCATACTTCTTTTCTTCCATATTTTACAGAGATATATCTTTTTTTATATAGACAACAATCCGTTAGCATAATTATCCCCGCTAATGGCACTGCCCGTAAAGCAATTAGAACTTCTTTGAATGGATAGAATAGAATTATGTTCGAAGACAAGCCTGGTCCCTTTAAACGGTAAAGTTTTCAGCAGCGTTAAATTCATATGAGCTCCAAGTACCATGATATGAGTTATGCCGTTAGTCACCTTAGCTGAAATCGAAACACAACAGAAGCACTATTTGGCGCACAATCGTTGAATATTAAGTAAAAATTATTAGATTAAATGAGCACTGATTAACAAAACTACCACTGAGAGCTTTAGTTCTTAATGGGAACATTATGTACAACAAACGGCCAACTTACCGCCGTCTTTCCTATCACTACACGCTATATGTTTATAATAAACGATGAGTAGAATAAGCAGAAATGGCAATATGTTCTTAAAAACATATTTATTTTGCAATAATATTTCATAAGTTTGTAAGGAAGGCTGATAAGTGACAGGACTGATGGGCCAGCTTATACATATAAATTGCTTTTATTAGTTATTGTACCAATTAGTTGTTGCTAAGAAAAAAATACACAATAAAAACTAATACATTTCAAATACTAAGTTCAATCCGATTTTTTTATTTATTTTAAGATATTTATTTTTGACAAAAAAGCCTTTATGTAATAGACCATTTGCCATTGTGGAAATGTGACCGTTACTGACCCACTCCCAGAAAATTACAATTCATAGGCACTGTATGCACATTTATTTTAATACAGCTGACACATTATACAAAACGCCCCAAAAATGAACCAGTTCGGTCTCCGTGCACATTATTGAAACATCACAATGAAGTTCTCGCATTTTAGAACATGTTTGGCTTAGGTTTGCCATACGAACTCATCCTGTTAGAGAAAGGCAGGTGCTTCTTTCTCATTCCAAGCATGGTATTCACTTCACACACGACACTTCGCAACATATCAATAATCTCCTTGATTTGTCGATTTTTCATATATACTTGCTCCTGTAACACAAAATAGGGTATACATGTCGATCATATTGCATTTACCACTTATTGCGATTAGCGAAAAAAGCTCGGAAGGCTAGTTTCCTAGAGTGCAAGCTTAAATAGTGCAGTGGTTATATTTTTTATGAAAATTTTGAAGATTATAATATAGTAGCTAATATCTTTACGTATTTAATTATATCGTGATTACCTGATACATTTGCCGTTCTTCTATAAACTGTCGCGCGGAATCCAACGGCTTTTTTTCCTCTTCATCTTTTCGTCGCTCGTCCTCGAGAGGTACTAGTTGAATCGTCGCTACGTCTGGCTCAAGCGTAGAGAACTCTCCGCCAGCGCAGTTCATATCACAGATTTCATACACCCGTCGTAGACGCTTAAATAACTGCTGTATAATCTTCAGAATTTCATTTAGCTTTACCTTACGCTCCTACAAACAATCGAAACGACAATGCAACAGAACCAGGTAGAATAAATGATCAGAGAACTTGGAAATAGAAGGCGGCCAATCTTCTACTTAGCTACAGGAATCATGGTTATTTATTGTCGGTCTTCTAAACCAGTGTTAATTAAGCAAATGACTTCAACTTAACTGATCGTAACCAAATTGTAATAAGCTGAGTTAGTTCTCTGTTTGGTAACTATTTACTTCGCGATCATGATTGTATTTTCTACACCGTAGAGAACGAAAATCATTTTCACTAAAAAAAAACATAAGAAACAAAAAGATCAAGAAAGGTTTGATAATTTGGTATTAAATGAATACCTTTCGACTACAGACTCAGTACGCACCTCTTGCACAGTTGACGCTTGCGGGTTCATGCTACCCGTTGGTGGACCCAAAGTTCTCAAAAGCTGAAAAAGCTCTCCAGCCCTCGACACAATTTCCTGAACAGTTTCTTGACCTATTCGACACATCACAGGAATGTTGAACTCCTGCTGTTGTTGTTGCTGACTGTCCTGCTGTAAAAACAGAAAAAAACGATTAACGACAGCGGTTCGGCGTTCTTCACAAAAATCTGTACCGTTGTGATGAGATTCTTGCACTAGTTTGGCTCCATTTTATCTGTAGAACATTTACTTTTAACTATTTTGTACCAAATGTATTATTAATAAAACATTAATCATTAAGTTTCACAGGAGAAGAAGCTTATACGATAGTAAGCTGAGTTTGTGCCATCTGTATTGATCCTTCTATCTAGATCGACGGTAGACACTAAAAAACGTAAAAATCTATTACATTTCAGAATATTTTTACTTTCCTTTTAAACATTTGTATTGGCAATTTTGATGTCGACGGAAACCTTCTGAAGTTTCATTTAGAATCTTAGTATGTTTCGTTAACCACAAAATAGGTACTAACATAAAACAAAGTTCAACTTTACTCATGACTGTGCTTTGAAACGAAGTAATCGATGCGTAAACATCAGAAACTCCATGTGTAAACTTTTATGAATATTAATAAAGGAATAAATTTGTTTAATGTACCAGATTTTAATATACCAGAACGTAACTGTTAAGAGTTAAGAGTAGTAAGTTTCGGTTAATTGAGTACATATGCATGCAAGAATAACATCATGCGTATTCTGTATGACGGCAAAATACGTAGTACTGTGGAATATCATTTTTATTAGATAAATGTTTTATCCAGTGGGTAAAATTGCTATCATCAGATTGTACGGGACAAATCTTTCATAAACTTTAAACGACGAAGAGGTAGGAAACTGTATATAGCATTTCATTTCAAGTTTTTTTTTAATTTTTGAATTTAAATTCTTAAAAGCTTTTTCAATTGAGTTTATCAATCTTCACTGATTCAAGATATATGAGGAGCTCTTTCACATTTAAGTATTAGCTACCTAATGAAAAACAAAAAGTGTTAACAAAAGACGGAGAGACAGAAGGCGGTCAGATTATTGCCCCATGCGTTATTCGAGCTCTATACTTAGCAAATAAGCCTTGGTTCTCATACATGAAAATCCTTGGCTTGCAACGAATGTACATCGGTCTGCTAACCTGAGGGTTTCCATCCTGGTCCGGTTGTTCATTACTGATACCATTATGACCCTCCAGGGACATCGCGCCGGGATGCATCTGAGGAACGGGGGTATAGCCTCCTATTCCTCCACCCCCAGGACCCATTGGACCTCCTCCTGAGCCCCCACCGCCCATAGTTGGCCCGTGACTGCCACCACCCTGGTGGTACGGCGATGCCATAGAGTAGCTGAGTGATTCCAATCTATTTATAAAATATTGTCTGTAAAGCAATTTTTAAGAAACATTTATTATGCAGTCAAAAATAAACGTCCGAAAAATTCATAAGAAAATTGTTTACTGATAAAAGTGGTGGAAACAAAAATAGTGTTTTAAATAAAAGAAAAAATATCCAATAAGATATGGCTTGTTCGTATGGGATAGCATGATAAGTCTTCAGGTGGATTAAACTATTAAGCACAGTTTGCTTGAACAACTTCGTACTCCAATTGCAGTGGTATTTTCGCTCTGCTTAATAAAGTTTTTAAGTCTTTTTTTTTTTTATTATATATGAATCAACACAAAACTACTGCTGGACAGATGAAAAGCTCCACGGCCTCTAATTCACAATACAAAATGTAATTCCAAAAACGTACTCTCCTCATGTACAAAACGAAATGCATTACTATGCTACTATTCCAGAATGAAATATTCCAATGATTGTTAATATTGTTCTTTATTCGACCTTAGTAGCAGTAACCTGCTATTTATGCAACATTATCAGATATTGTCGCATCGTGTAATAAAGACACCTCAAGTATTGTTAACGAACATACCAGATTACAAAAATATGAAGCTCAAATTCAGCAGAAATAAACGAAAAAATTTTGCGAAAAACTTGTTTTTAACCAAATCGCTACCTAAACATTCTGTGTGTTTACTTCTTCTTTTTTCATCTTTACAAAACTTGCAGCATGAGCTCACAGAAGCACTTAACTTAAACTCCATATATGTATATCATGAGAAGTGTATGCGATGAGTATAATTATCTGTCAAAAAAGATATATTTTTCCTAATCGACTTCGTTTTTTTGTCATTGCACACTAGGCATTTCGGAATGAAGGCACCGCAGGTTAAAAAAGTCTCAAAGAGTCGTCCATTCTAGTCAGTTATCTAACATTACTCCGTATTGGCACATTAGCATCACACAATGGTTTGGTAAAATGAACTTACACGCCTGTATTATACGCAATCAGCGGAGCCCGGCGAACACGACTCAAAACGATTTTGCTTTCAGGGTTTGTTTATTTACATCGATGCCTACGATGACGAAGTTGAAACAGATATATGCACTAACAACAAATATTCCTAATCATTTTGATAATTTTCACGTACGATTATGCTTACGACGCCCACGAAATGGTCAGTTAACAATAATAATATCTAGTGATTTCATATTGATACTGTAGCTATCAAGAATAGGCAATAACACCTGCACAGAAATAAAATCGTGGCGCACCTTATCGAGAATTGGCGTTTACCAAGAGGTTGTTGTGTTTTTGTGAGGGTTGGACTTTACTGGCCTCGAAGGAGTGCTGTCGGCTTTTGAAGAGCGTTCTCTTCATCATCAGTGGTTCGAAAACTTCGGTGATATTCCGTGAAATTGCGTATTGTGCCGTGTAAAGTGTGCAAGGCATCACGATGAGCTCAGGAGTATATGGTGGAGGCAAGTACAATGCTGTTATTATAGTTGCGTGGACACGTTTCAAACGATATCGACGGGTAATACAGAAGTGAGTGAAAAACCGCCGCGGAAAGCTAACAACAATGGAACAGCCGTCTTCAAATGCTAGCGAGCTAATGGCATTATGGTTCGAATCATATCTTTTCAAAGCTAGCTAGAGTTGTTGTTAAAGCAAAAGCAACATATTTGTTCAGGCAGCATCTATCAGTAGTAGTAATTAGTAAGACGGAGGTATTGATTCTCAGTGTTACTAGAAGAGCCTAACGTGATCGCATATTCAGTTTACACGTAAATAAATGCATAACAACATTGTATAACCTATTTGTGGTTAACAATTTGTTTTATAACTTTTGGTATCACGTCGTGTGTATTTGTTACCGTTAAATTTTATTCACATATAATGATATCTACTTATCTAATGTGCTAAATATTTTGTGAACAATATTTAGAGAGGTGTATTTTCAAATAGGCACAAGTACAGGCTACTGAAAAAAAAAAAAAGAATTATCAGCATGTTCACTGAAGTGTGTTGAAGTTAATTACTATATCTAGACATGTTTGTCTCTTCTCAGTCCAGTCGTGTGTATGTGAGGGACCAAACTTTATTTAAAAGCTTAGCAAATTAACTAACATGATATGATTCAACGGAATAGATTTATGATTCAAATATAATTAAACATTCAGCATTATACTTTTATAATGTTTTAATTTTTTCGTACCACTCTTCACTTACTGTGGATGCGAAACATTGTCAATTTGGAGCTATATTTAATCGTTCGAACCTAGCTAATATTAGAACAAGAAAAAAAATTGATTTCTACATATTGCTGTGCACTTCATAGATGAGGTTGGCGCTCTCGTCTTCGATTATGGTCAGTATTCATTTCGGGCAGGATATGCCGGAGAGGACTCGCCGAAGGCTGATATCCCTTCCATTATGGGTTCTGTCGATCAATTGATTGAAGGCCGGGAGGGCAAAGAGGAACTCCTGGAAAAACGTCACCTTATCGACGTCGGTGCTCTGAACGTACCGCGCAAAGGCGTCGAACTTCAAAATTTCATGAAAGATGGTCTTGTCGAGGATTGGGACCTGTTTGAAAAGATGCTCGACTATATTTATGAGAAACATATTAGGTGAGCATGTTACATCATTTCTTCATGTGATTGTATATAAAAATGCGATTTATTGAATTCGGCACGTATGCAATAGGAATGAATTTGAACACATTTTTGCAACTCGTGAAAACTTTTAATAATATGATCATGAAGTTTAAATGTAAAAGAAATGAAATTTAAAAACTATCTCAGCTGGCAATTACGAAGAAATCTGGTCATTTCTGAACCTTTCTATTTATTCTTTACCTGTACTTTTCCATTTCCTACCTACTAGGAACGACGAAGTGTTGCCGTTTGTCACCTCATATTTATTGTCGATTATGTGTTCACTTATTTCAATGCATTGCAGGTCTGAATCACAATTACATCCCGTATTAATGTCTGAAGCTCCGTGGAATCAACGTGCAAAACGGGAGAAAATGACTGAATTAATGTTTGAAAAGTACAACGTTCCAGCGTTCTTTCTCGTAAAAAACGCGGTGCTCTCTGCATTTGCCAATGGTCGAGCAACAGCGTTAATTCTTGATGCTGGTAAAAAATCAATAAAGATATTTATATTTTTATTCAGTCGTTAATATTAGTACTATTATCTTAGAAATTTTTCATGAAAAGTCATATATATCGTGTTTAATGCTCACTATGATGAGCCAAATATCGTAATCGCTTTGCTGTACGTTTAGATGTTACCGAAATATTTTTGGTTTTGGTGAAGGCCTAAAAACCTAATTAAGAACAAAGAATTGGTTTTGACTCACGCTCCGTCGTTAGTGAAGTATATATGATTTCCTGTGGATGCTGCCATCTTTTCTTTAATTGATTCTACTTGGTGATGTCAGAGGTTTAACTATGTGTCCCTTTCTACTTGCATTTCTTGTGTATCTTTTGTTTTTGAATTATATAGGGTCAACTCAAACCTCAGCGATTCCGGTCCATGATGGATATGTACTCCAGCAAGCAATTGTCAAGTCGCCTTTGGCTGGTGACTTTCTGACGTTGCAGTGCAAAAACTTCTTGGAGGAGCACGAAAAAGTAGAACTCGTACCCCATTATCAGATTGCCTCTAAGGTGAATAAAATTCATGATTCTACATTTTTTTACATTGACACCTAACATATGTAGTAAAGTAATATGTAACGATAAGAAAAAGGTTAATGGCAATACTATTTCACAAGGCACACTTTAAACTTATTTTGCAGTAAGCAAATATGCCAGTTGGCTTCATCTCCCACTTATCGATGCCTGGCGGTTTTTTAGTAGCATATCAGTAATTAGTAGATATCTTGTAATATATATAGTTATTAACTAAAAGCAAAAATCTAAATTTCTCATGTTGGTACGTCTCTATAGGAACCAGTGAAAGAGCGAGAAGCGCCTAAATTTACCCGCAAAACAACAATCCCCGAAGTGTCGAAAGCTTGGGCGGATCTTCAGGTAAAGAATCTTTTGCGTGATTTTCAAGCGTCAGTTCTGCAGGTGGCAGACGCCCCTTACGAGCAGGAGACCGCTGAAGGAATGCCCGCAGTTCATTACGAGTTTCCTACAGGCTATAACGCTGACTACGGAGCAAAGCGATTCGAACTTGCCGAAGGTCTTTTTGATCCGTCTGTAATTAGGGTAAGACGTTAACCAAAAAAAAAGCCTAAAATATTTCTGGTAATAATATAGTCGTATTTTTATATCTGTTGTCTTATACGCTGCCACCAGATGGATAGATGGTTTATTTGAAAGGTATGCGATCTACTCTATGTAACGTACTCAAATATTTTACGTTTGTATGGAAAACAGCCGCAACTTCCAGGCACTCCGATGGGTGCTGCACAAACTGTGACAACGGCAGTCGGCCTTTGTGACGTTGATGTTCGGCCCGCGCTTTATGGCAATATCACACTGGTGGGAGGTGCCACACTCCTACAGGGTTATGGGGAGCGCCTCCAGAGAGATCTCTCATGTAAGACGCCGCCATCAATGCGCCTCAAATTCATCGCACCCAACACGCCTGCAGAGAGAAGGTAATGCGAGCGGAAATAATTTACGTAACGCGTGTTAAAATAGCGTGTACCTACCTTTAAATAAATATAAAAAAAAAAACAACTTTCTATATTCACATAGGTTGCGTGGTATTATCGTTGGTGGGACTTGAGCCAGTAACCAGTGAGAGCCTTGGCCGTCAACGATACTACCCCAGTTTGGAATGTATATCCAAAGTCACCTGAGACAAAGGGTATAGCCTTTGTAATCTATTCTGCACTTCTAGAAGCCCGTTTCCATTTGCCTATCTGACTCAAAACGATCCCCTAAAGTGGTCGGATCACGCTTATTTTTTTTTGAGTCATCGGAGATCTGCCTAGAACGGAAAGCCACTGATCAAATACTGTTGTTTTTAGAGAGAAAAGAATACTTTTTTTTTATTAGGCGTGATGCTACCAAATTAGGTCATACGTCGACGGCAGCATTTTCTTTCTGAACTTCTGGCATTGATAAAACCTCCGCGCCACGTTTACAAAACTAAAGTTGTTACTAATATTATCCGCGCTGATATATAATAAGTGTAACAATTATGTGACGTGAGTAAATTTGCTCAGCTTGTGTTGCATTCAAGCTTTGTTTAAACTATATCGTGAAAGAAGCTATTAGCTTATCGTTATCAAAGAATTTCTGTTTAAGATATGTTGTATGAATAACCGTGCTCAGCGTGTGTTACGTGGAAAACCGTGTCTAAACTATAATCTTGTAGGAGCTACTATGTTTTATGGACACAAAAATTATAGCTTAATAACCTATCTTGATAATAGTCTGTCTTGCGACGTTCCCTTTATTATAAACGCAATTTGCTTTTTACCTCTATGCAGGTAAAGCGAATTGTACTTAATAGCAACACAGGCCCGAGGTATCTACCGCTCTTTGTTTATGTTAGACGTTTCTTTTTACATGGCGTTGGTTTCAGATTTGCCCCATGGATTGGTGGTTCTATTCTCGCTTCGTTGGGTACATTTCAGCAAATGTGGATTTCGAAACAGGAGTATGAAGAAGGTGGAAAGCAAGTCGTCGAACGCAAATGTCCTTAAATTTATCTTCTCACATGTATATAGTATGCTTATAGCAACTTTATAATGGCATTGAGTTAATACTATGCTTACTATTTGTACGATTGTCTTTGAATTATTTACGTAGTAGGTATATGTATACGTACCTATGTAAATATGTAGTCTTGTACTACATATTTCTGACAAAATCGGACCAATAATATTAATAAAAAAGCAAGCGTAAGTGACCCACAATGAAACCCTAATCTATTCATTTGTCTCGTTTTTTTTTCTGTTTGGATAAACATATGTGCCAGCCAGGGTATGTTCAAATGCAAAGTAGATTCAACTCATCTCTGATGAAATATCGATAACGTTTCAACTTTAACTTCGCTAAGTTGTTTAGTATTTTATAACCATACTGTTAAGGTTTTGTAAATTGAAATGTAGGATCTAATAACGGTGATAAAAAAAAACAAAGCGAAAAGCACAAAACTTTCCTCGATGCATTTGCAGTGAGAAGATTTAATCTTCTTTGAGAACGGCTGTATGTTAATAAAAAAAGGGTTTGCTTAATAAAGATGTTTTGATATATTGCTGCGCAAGACTGGCATAAAAAGATGAAAAAAACACTGTCAACGCATAATGATGTATTAGCAAGTAAGTTCCAAAGCACGTATTTTTTTGACCATCTGTGTGAGCTTTGTCCCATCATTCCGTCTTGCTATCATTCTTTTGAGTCACTTCTGAAATAAATGTATTAGAAAATGTTCCTGTGTTTTTTTCGCAAAGGTCACCCTGCCGTTGTCTCACGACATGGCGTTGTTTTTCATGTACTTAATAGAATCAATGTCTTGTTAATGCATACGATCGGGCAGAATCGACGATTATAAAAAAAAAAAATTCAGTTTTCTTTTAGGTCTAATCCGACTGTTCTTCTGCGATCTGCAACGCGCAAAGCTTATGCCGATATGGATCACACAGAAACAAAAATTGTCACTGTGATCGGTGTTACTAGATTTTAAAGACACGTATTTTTTTTTCGGTTTAAAATCCTAGCTTGAATATTTTTAACAGAAATTTAATTTATTAAGCTAATTAGACCCGTGGAATCATTTTTTTTTAAATGTATGATAAGAGTATATGGACGCTATTGTAACACAGAATAAAACTGCAAGCGTCGACTAAGACAAAGGAAATCTGGTGATGTCATTTATTAATAAAAACGGTAATACGACTTTCAGATAAAACGCTCCGTCAATTATATATGATATAGTATTAATAAATAGATACTACTTAGGAAGGAAAAAGTTTTACGTTTGTAAAAAAGACATTTATATACGCGGTACTGTTCAGGTGCGACATGATTAATAGATTCAATATAGAACCTGTTCTGCGTATCTTTTTACGTATGCTACCATTTCCACGTTCGTGCTTTATCATAATTTACGATGAGAGGATGCAGTGCATCGAAAATTTGCTGCATATAGAATGCTTATTTGATACTTGAGACCCGATAATCGGTGTTCTACCTACGAAGGCTATCACCGACCAGTGAAGTAATCATTATTCGTCTTTCCTATTTTTCTTTCTCCATTTTTACATGATGAACAATACGAAATGTTTACGCTCTTTTTCCTCAGAAATGCCAACGACTTAGTCGACATTCACGATGTGCCAACACTTTACCAACACAACCCTTTATTGGTGTTTCATCTTTTGAGAGCAGGAAAACGGAAATTAACAATCGCTCTCCCATAACTGAAAAATAACTGATAGGGACTCGAGCCCGGTCCTCAAAAATTAGCCTAGATGTTATATATAATAGTAGATCAATGAATATTAACTTATGCCTTCTGTTTCATATAAAGCTGCTCATGTTCGTAGTTGTTAGGGCATAACTACGTTTTTGAAGCCAGTTGTTGTTGGCGTTGTTTTCGCATTGCATATTTGTTTTTGTTTTTTTGTCGTTTCTGAACTGTCACATCGAGTACCTAGAGACATATCGCATATAGCAATAATTTTCGTTCCTCCGATTTTGTGATTGCCTTTTATCACTTTAACTTGACTCTTCATCATTTTCGCCTCTGATGTAACTTTGATATATAGGCTTTACAGAATGAGCGACGATAAGGAGGGCAAGTTTCCAAAAATGGGGAGCCGTTTAAGCAGATACACTTCCACTTAATCGCCGCTGAGCTGCTCGTATAACTTTGGGACATAGTCGTCGTATTCAGCCTGGAAAAAGTTGGCGGCGATGGGTTCGCCTAGTTTGTACTTCTTTGCAAAATCTCGAATATGGAATCCACCTCGGTTATCCCCGCTGCGATTAGTTAGCCGCTTCTCATCGAAGTTGATCCTGCCCTCGGGCTGCTTATACACAAGAAACACGTATCGATGCAAGCCTGTCGAAGTAAAGCAGTAGCAAAAAAATTGATAAAATTTTACGTTTAATAAATGAAGATTTGTACGTTATACTAAAACGGTAACGCGTCATCTTAGCAGTAATTTATTGTCATGAATGCTAAAGAACATTTAACCAGAAACACATTACTGAGTTCGAATAGTCGAAAATAGCTAAAAATGTATAGTACCAACCAGTTCCCTTGGGCGGTCCGGCTCCCACATATTCGGAAAGAGTTTCACCCTCGCTTATCTGCTGGCCTGGAATGTTACCCACTAGCCAATGGTGCCATTCGCGGTACTTGGGTGTCTGTCGAGAAGGCGCATCGGGATCCGTCATACAGAGAGTGTAGAGAGAGTCATTATCGGCGGTATAGTTGACGCTGGGGATGTCCTTGACCTGGGTAGGCGTAAGCACATTTCCAAGATTAACGCGTCCTTCAGAGTAGTTCACCTGAAGTGTTAATTAAGGAAGCAAGCTTTATATTCAGGGAGAAGTTGCCGTGGTACCTCAACACCTCTGTTAATATTATTATTGTTACTATTGCTATCGCCATTAAAGATTAAATTAATGTATTTTTTTGTAATGTCTCGTTCAAGCCTATGGACTAATCCCTCCTATAAATAATGAATTATTAAACCTGCTGATTACTCAACGTTTTTGGAATTTTCCAGTTATATCCTTGTTCATCAGTATTTATACTTCTTACATACACTATGATAATTGCATATGTGGGTCATTGTATTGAACTCAAGGTGCTTGTGACATTCAAAATCAGAAGGAAATTAAATCAAACAGTATGAAATATATTAATCAAGTCGCAAGCCTCATATTGGTTCCGCTAGGGGAACCTAAATTGTAAACAATTCTGCTTGAAGTCAGTTTCGTCATCACCGGCTCTCAGCTCAAATTTAGAACTACTCTACCGTTTATCTTTCCTAAAGCGTTTATCTGATCTAAATCGTTTTAAGCTGTCTGTCGCATTATTACAAGAAGTGACATTATATGCAGAAAACGACGATTGAGGGTTAGACTCAACCCAGTAGGGTCCCCAGTGCCACGACGAGATGCCACAGTCGCACCTAGCCACAACACTTAGTGGGCGCGTGGTTGGTGTCATTTGTGCCATTACCCAGTGTAGGGAAGCATCGATATATTTAGAGACATACAGTCCACTCTTTTTGACAGGGCTAAGAATGACAAACAATGTATTAACAAACGCCAGCCAGTACTTGGTGGCGCAAATCGCACTGAATGTCGTAACTATGGTAGCGCGAAGTACTACTATTGCCTAACGCAGTAAGTACAAGACACAAATGTCTGCCGACTCCTCTCTTGCGGCTCTCGACTTTGCCGTCACAGCGACCAAGCAGAGATCGTTGTGCTAAGACACACAAAGCACTAGTTGACCTTAATCTAATGATCCAGGTTATCTTACTATTTATCAAACCTGCGCAATGAGTTTGTGGTCTGCTCTGTGATTGGGTGTTTGATCGCTCAGTTGAATAACCCAAAATAAACAGTATAAGCATATCTTTTACATCAATAGCATTTACGATCTCATTTAAATATTATACATGGTTAACATGAAGCGGAAATGGTATTTGAATAAGCATTCACATTGTCTATGTCTTTGTTTTTAAACATGCGCTCCTTAAATGATCCTCCATCCATGCTATGAAATGGTATAGACGGCCAAAAGCTCAAAAAGGTGGCATCAATTCAATAGGTACAATACGAACGTTTAAGTTGATGAAATTGCAGTTTTAATAACCCAAGTTCTCGTGAAGAATGCTGAAAAAAAGTTTCAGGTTGCCAAGAATAGCTTACACCACAATAATTATAGATTATAACGTTGTCACAAAAATTGATGGTAGTAAAAACTTTTTTCACATACTTAGGTAATTTACATATCCTGCATTAGATAGAACGTTAATTGGCCACTAAAAAGAGAATACATTTTTGCGGTCGAATAACAAGGATAATGCGTACTAGTTTATCTTGAAGATCCTTTAGATATTTTGCAATATCTTTCTCAGCATCTAATTTGCCCCGAACAACCGTATAATACTCAGTCAGCAAAACCAAGAGATCGTTTGGTCAGTTTACTTGCCTTCCGAGTCTTTTTATAAACCGCTGTATTTTTGTTCTATTTAGATTTGACTCGAACATCACTTATTTTGATTTTCGATAGTTCTACTCCGTTCTAAAGATATATATCAAACTGTTTCGGAGCTTTTGAGCTTTGTTATTTTCTGCTACAATGATTCTAAAGAATCACTGTGGTGATTCAGACGGTTAAATGTCTTATATATACTAAGTGTTTTACATATATTCCTGCCGATTTTTTAGTTCCTAGAGTTTATGTTAGTGGATAAAGTTAAAGAACAGAGTTCAAATACAAGGAAACACTGCCAGTAGACTGGATAATATAAATTATATACAACGAGAAAAATCTTTTAAACGAAGCAGGAAAATACAGGGTGCCTAACTAAGGGAGAACAGTTACAACAATGACAATAATCCAACACGTAGCAAAATGCTTGAAGCATTTTTCAGTTTGTTTTTGCACATCTTAAGCTATTGCTACAGCTTTGGCTACCACCATTTGTTAGATATAGCCTCCACCATGCTGCATTATCGATGATCATAGCGTGATATTCAAGTTTCTACTAGTAACCCATATAGGCCGCCATAATCATAACGCATTGTGGTTATTCGCGCCATTTTTAACCGGTAATTTTTAAACGTGTACTATACGTCGTTCTGAGATCCGATTGCATCATCGATTGTAATAAGAGTGCTGCTCAGTCCAGCCCAGAAGAAAACCCAGAGAGCATGTTCACTGCATCTTGGAGAAGTTTCCTTTTTATAAATACTAACTCGATACCGAGTGTTTACAGTTGGGCTTCTAGATAATAACGAACTGATGCACTAACTACAGCGCTTCTCCGTAATAGGTGGAAGTGCTGCTACTACAGTGCATCGCCATTACCAAAGCACGAAGCGACGCAGGAAACCCAAGTGTGTTGACCTTAATGGTTAACAATGAGACCAATGAGCAATAATACAGTTTATCACTGCTTACTCTTATTCAATCCAAACCTCTGTGGAAGTTTGTGCGCCTTTTTAGTCGCCAACATGCTCAGATAACAAAATACTTGTGTAAAGCAACTATGTTTTTCTGTTTACAATGACTTCTATTACTCTATATTATGATTACCACTAACAAATATATTTGTTTAATTAATTTTGAAAAGAAAGCTATATAAGCACACATCGACACAGTTTTCCCTCTTTGCGCGATATTCTAACAATCAAATTATTACTGGCAAAGTTAAATCACAAGTTTCCGAATTTTCCGAAAAATGCTACTTTGAAGCGCACCGATCAGTCGATTCAAGGCCGCACGTATCCGGAAGGACATGCATAGAGTGGAAAGGGTCACTATAGTTGGCATTCTTTGAATCGATAAAAAATATTGGTCGGCATAGGTATCTGACCCACGACGCACAGAAAATTTAATGAGTTTTTTTTGTTATTTCACGTGTTTCTTAATACACAAACCTAGTTACTACTATAATGCTTATTGGTTTTGTTTAGAGTTATTTAACAAGCCGAAAATTTTGAAAGACTTTGTAAGCTGAAGACCATGGAGGGAATAACTACATTTATGATCTCAAATAGAAAAGGGAGTCGTCGTGATTACGCAGTCTTTTCAGTGAACAGTGTGTTGGCTTAATATGGGCTTCATCGAGGTACCTATTATGAAATCGATCAAAAGGCGTCAGGAGAGAATGCTACTTCGATGTTAGCAAATAGATTTGGGCTCAGGCTACTGCTCGTCTTCGTAGTATATATATGGAAGATTACCCAAAAAGTAAAGAGCGAATACTGCAAATTATTTCGAATTCCCGAAGAACCTTATGGGTGTGCGTATGAAGATTGACAGCACGAAATGTGAATCGAAGACTTAACAACGTACGACCCCACGCTTCAGTCATGTTTTTTTTCTAAATTTTCATCATACGGAGGGGAACACATCATTTCACGCTTTTTTGCTTCAATTTTTTATTTTTTTTAAAGGCTTGAATCGAGGGAAACAGAATTGAACGATGGCTTGAGTCTTTAGATTCTTTGAACTTATATGCGCGCGAATTTGGTTGGGTCCATACCTTAAAGGAACCGGTAAGTGATGTTGTGTATATTTCTATTGATTCTCTCAAACAAGTTGTCCACGCATCATACACACGACAAACACGCAGCCAGTAGGAAGCTCCTAGAGCGCTAGCGTCAATGTGTAAGTAATGAAAAAAGGTGTACTTAGTATCTAATGAAAGGTCGCGTTTTACTTTAAACACTTTCAAAATCACTCAAATGTTTTAACCGCTAATTGACTTTGGACAACCTAACATATTCTTCGAAACGTGCTTCCAGCTAAAAATCACTAATCTCACTCAGATAGGATATTTGCAAAATATATATATATACATACACCTATACAGTATATTGTCGCAAACTGCGAAAGGAAATATTCGAACTTACCATTTTGACTTCGCCAATCCACTAGCACAATCGACTGTGCTGCGGCGTTAGAAATTCTGAGCATATAAACAACGTGTTTATAAAATCGAATTCTTTATGATTAACTCTACATACTCCGTTCGTCCAAGACGATTAGTATGGAAATTGCTGGCTAGACTAGCAAATCGTGAAATATTGTCTTAAGATGAAAATCAAAGGAATCGGTTAAGGTCCTTTTGCGCATTACCGCACGTCGCGTTTGAAAGACACAGTGGCTATTTCAATGTTATGAATTAAAAACCATGTGTAGTCATTAATAACTTGCGTGTAAACTGCAAATGGAACTTGTTCTTCAATATATCCAACATTGTTTTATTTATCCATCGCCAGTTTCAGGTATGCAGTGCAAGACCAGTTTGGCAATTCGGTACCTTGACAGTCTAATGTGGCTCAGAAATTGATTTTCTACTAAAGATTTAGGTACCGCCTCTTACAGTCCTTCGGATACAGCGCTGTGAACAGACAAATTATTTTTTTTAGATAAATATCTCTTTAAACAAAATTTCTGTTAGAACTTGGGCTCGCTTGTATAGCTCTCGGGACGCAGGACAAACTTCGGAGTTCGAGAGTTCTAAAAACTACAGGCTACGATTTGTAAACTACAGATTACAAAATACGAATAACCGCGAAAGCGGTTTTTCACACGTCATTACCATCATCGATCTTATGGTAAATTTCTATTAGTTGGCCTCTGTAATGTCATTGCGGAACTACAGATTATCAATTACACTGTCACCCACTGTTGCCAGTCATCGACGCCTTAGCTCGTTTGCTAAATAGCACTTACCTCAACAATGTTTTCGGGGACACTATCGACAACATCCGGCACTACTTTATGTTCATCCATCGCGATCTTCAAGCCAGAATCACTGCGAACGCTCTCTAGCAAACTGAAAGGTACACACACCCAGATAATTAGAAACAGATAAATGGGGCCCATATTGGCCAGCATTCTGGTGATATCGAAACGAAAAAGCGTTGTTTTTGTCACTAGGGCTGCTTCTCGATGCCTCGATACACATACAGCGCCCAAAGAATCAATAGAAAGAACGTCGTCAGTAACCAATCGTCTGTTGCTTTGGCTCACTGACGGAGCGCCGATACCAACAAGTTGCCAGAAGCCGACCAACAACTTCAGATGACTGTCCGCTTGACCGCTTACCAGACTAGCATCTATGGAGCTGGAGGACTGCTTTTCTCACGAATACCCTCCCTTAATCAGAACACACACACACGTATATATATATACGTGTGTGTGTGTTCTATAGATATGACGCTTACTGATTTGCATTTGTATTGCACGACACAAAGAAATATTATACCAGTACCGCAAGGTTACAGAAAAAAGTCATCTGTCAATTGGAAATAAATAAAGGGTACTCTTGTAACGTGTTCTATCTTACTATTTTTTAGCATGTTGATAGAGTACAACAGTAACGATGAGGACACGATAAACTTTCATAAGCTTTAGAATTAGAACAGTACCTAGCTTAAGTCATTATCTTGTAGAAAGCATTTTTCGACCGTTTTTTATCGCAGAAAAAAATGGGGAGTGAATAGATCAGCACGATGTGACGACCTCTGTAGAAGTCTTCGCAGAAAAAGGAGTTATGGATAAAAGAGTAATAATAGGATAAAAGGTGTTATAGATGAGCGACTGTTATAATTCAATTGACTATCAATTATATCATGGATTGCCATTCAAACACTTGCAGGTCACGTTCGTCACGCCGACAGTAGAAGAAACTTACGCAAATATCAATCAATCGTTCATAATAGAGGGGTAGATCTAGCATTTGTGCCGCCCGTAAAGAAAATCTATTAGTGGCTGGAATCTTATGTTCACGTTTCGATATTACTATCAGTAATAATAACAAGTGTTTTATATTTAGCTAAGATGTGTGACTGATATAAAACTGTGCAATATTCACAGCCAGTTATCGGTAAGGATACTGGTCAGCAGAGTTAGTGACCACGACGACTAGGATTTCTACATCTACCATTCACTCGTTACTGTGTAACCTATTTAGCTGGTTATGGAAACTAGGAAGTGTCGTGTTTCTAAAGTGCAGTCCGATTCGACTTATCACCTAGTCATAGTACATCCTGCTCCAGACTGCTAGGAACAATAAATAAGCTAGATTCGTGTATTAACTATCAACATTTTACAAAAATTTATATGCATACAAACGCATTGCAAAAGGAACACTCATTATCTTCCACTGTTTTAAACGCTAGCCATTGTTTCGAACATTGAACACTGACTGAAAAACATTTAACAATCATTAAGACTTTTCATAGCAACTGGAGGGCATAGATTAACACTAGAAACAAAAAAGGCCATGAAACAGGATTATTTATAGTTTCTAAGAAGGCAGAGACACGAGCTTAGCAAAAGCCCGAACGAATACAAAATCCTTATTGAACAACAAACAATTTCTCACTAACGAACATGTACTTCTACGTCATTCACAATAGCAGGTACTTAATCGCAATTGCAGCAGCGGTAGCACTATTGCACTGATAATAATTTTAAGAACCGCAATACAGGAAGCGTTACAAGGAAATTCTTTTTCTGAATTGAAAATATTAACGACTTCCGGTCTTCCATTCACGCAGGGCCGATGACGACGCCAAGGATTGTCCCTCTCGGCCGCTACAGCCACTAGTCTGATAATTAGGGCCCGGCAACAATTACGGTTACTTTTGAAAGCTGCATGGTTTACTGCTAAGGCATTGGCTGAAGTTAGTTAAACTTCATCAGAGGTCGAAGCTACGATAAGTAGTTATTTATTGCTGATGCTGAGCTGGCGTACTCCGCTGTTTGTTTAGTTTCTCGCCAATAATTCAATCACCGCTCCGTCCGCAACGCAACTATGACGTGCTCCTAGTATGAGCTCCACTTTGTGCTTCCGGCTGCTACTATCACTTTGAGAATTTTATTTTAAGCAAACAACAAGCGGCAGCAATTAGAAGTGTAACATATAACACGAAAGAAGAAAAACCCTCCAGCAAAAGCTTAACGACTAGCTAGCTAGTAGCTAGCAGTTAGTTAGAGGCCGATACAACTAGAATAATCACTAAGTATGTATTCTACGGTAATAGACACCGACTACTCCTCGATGTTGTCCCCGTCGTCGGGTCGCTGCTGTTCCATGCCGAAGAACGCACTGACATTAACGCCGCTGCTGCAGCGAGCTATGATAGGATACGCTGACACACGTTTTTGGCAAACAGAGAGCTAGATGCCGACGCGACCCGGGCTAACACACAAACACGGAGAGATGTACTGACGGGACGCGGTCGCTTTTGCTGTTGTCGCTACCGTTGTTGTTAGCTGACGCAGACGGGTTCAACCGCTCACACACTCGTTGATTGCTTGCCTGCCTGCCTGCCTGCCTGGTGGGTTGTCGGTGGCCAGACCTAATCCCAATTCTCCCTGTCAACCGTAGCAATGCAGCAATCACAAGCTCACCTTGTTCATGCTAAGCTTAATGCTTCCAACGGGCACGGGAAGCACCAACAGACATAGCAAGGCTAATACTGCTAAAAAAACCATGGCGACCCAGGAGAAATAATTACAGTGCGCGTGTGTGTGTATCCGTGTGTATATACACCATACAATGGTAACTATAACTGTACCCCAACGTCAATGCACACAGACGCTACTTAAAACGTTAGCTTTCCTCGTTTCAATGTACTACGAGCAGGAACAGTAACGTTCATCGTTTCACCCCATCACACTTTGTAATATGTATAGCGGCTCACTGACTATGGGCGCTGTTCGGTGTCGTAGCTGCCGCTCTGCGTCCGACGCGCACAGTGGCTCACCGTCTACCGCAGTTTATTCGGTAGACTGCTGTTGGTGATGTTACGTCGCCGCGACGCACGCAATCGTCCAACAACGTTGTCTGGCGATACGGCCCTCTTTCTGTTTTCCGTACGTACAAGCTGCTGTGTGCGTATGCGCCCGTAATTACCTCTACTGAATCAACTCTACAGTGTCTGCGTCAGCGTATTTCTGTGTGTATTCACACTGCGGGTGTGTATGGTGATTCTGTCACGACGCACGTTCTCCATAGAGACTTACCTGATATACGCTCACACTGGCCGTAATGACCGAGTCGGAGCGATACAGCTGACAGCCGTATTACTCAATGAAGTCTGTGAACGTTTGCAGTGTTTAAGGGGTAGCACATGTGTGAAGCATTCGCCGCTCTATCCGTTCATGTAACACTGGCCGCTCTTATGCCGCGAGCGACTGCTAGTAAGGTTGCCGGCTTAAGAAGAGGTAGAACAAACTCAGGCAACGAGAGAAGAAAGGGGTGGATAGGTAAGGGGCAATCCTCTCTAAGCATTTGGATCACAGCAAGCATTTAGTTGCTTTGCTGCTTTAGCAGAAGATATGCTGGCCAGCAGAGCTGGCATAGCTGATAAAGAAGTACAACGAGGACGCCATTTTGATGCCGATCTCGCTCAGGGAACTGTGTTAAATACAATTGGCGGTTTCTGGCTGGAGACTACGGGTTGGGGAAGCCGCTGCTGCTTGGAGTCCCGCCAACGACATGGAGTACACAGAATTTATGTACATATGAAGGGAGTTAGTTTTCAACTAGCGGTTTGAATTATGCCAAGGCTTTGTCTGACCCTGTTCGGGTATGTGTTGGCACTACGTATGCTACTATAAACATTTCCACAATGCTAGTACGTATGCTGGTGGGCACTGAGGACAAATATCTGCATATAAAATAAATCAAACGCGTCTTTTCCGCGTAGATTGTCGGTTCATTAATAGATAGAGTCACATACAAGAAACCGCTTAACACTGGTGATGACGACAAGAGTTATGACACAATACAAGTAAGTGGAGATTGTTATCATTATTTAAACGGACATGCAGAAAATGTTCGTTCATCTTTTGGCGGTACGTGCTAGCCAATGCTCGTTCAATTCCGTATTTCTTTGCTAGCGCGTATATGGTCCGTTTTCATTCTCAGCTACGCTATCGTTTGGAGAAGCCCGCCGCTGTTGGCGGCGTGCCCGCCCTAAGTCTCGTCTGTGTGTTGCCCTCTCTTTGTTGTGCGGCTGCTGCTGATGGTAGCGAAAGTCGGCCCTCCTCCAGTGCTCAGTCGCATCACCGTAGTAGTAAACAATAATTATTCCGGAGTCCCGGCAGACCGACAAGACGCGGAAGAAAAAGGAAAACACGACTGTAAGGCATTTTGCGTTCTTTTCCCCCCTATTTTTGTTTGCCAACAAAGAGGAATACTGTTGTGGTGGAAGCACTGAAGTGGGCTAGCTTATAGTCCGAGATCACCGTCTAGAGATGATGGAGATAGACGGATTTTGACGCACTTTCGAAATGTCTATTGTATTCGCCTAATAATTTCTGTCTAAACAAGAGGTATTAAGTGGGTTATTCTGCAATCATGTGTTAGGTGTTTGTTATCGTGTTCATATAAGAAGCAAAGTTCTTATATGGAGATACGAAGAATCTTATTCGTATAGAGGCAGAGACAAAGACACGCCTTTTACTTGACTAGAACTAACGTACCTGATGGTATTGCGCGTGCAGTGGTGCGTTTTTGTGCCACGGATAATATTGACTTATCGCGGTGCGATTTGTTTTGTGTTGTTTGTCATGGTTACAGGTCCCCTTGGGGGACGCCACAGCCACCTCAGCTCCTCAGCCAGCAGGCAAGATGAATTCGTCACAGAACCTGAAAATCAAGCTCAAGGAGCTGGACGACATCGAAAAGGAGGTGGCTGGGGCTCTGCAATCGGCTGGACTCGCACTCGTAGAACTCGGTTCGTAATGTTACAACAATGCACCAGTCTGACAGTTGGCTTCCGTACTGAGGGCATTTTCTTTTAGTCTTCAGTTGAGTTCCTCCCGCGCGTGTGTATGTAGACGACCTTAAGTGAAGATTGTTTATTGTTTATTTTTAGCGAACACTGGTACCAAATAAATGACGAACACGACCATCATGTTTCGGTGAGCCATTTAGGAGAACATAAACGTGCTGGTTGCGACAGAAGTCTCTAAATTAAACGTTTTCGCTTTTAGCTACTTTATTCCATGAGTTAAGCTCATTGAGTGGAATATAGAAAAGGCAATATTTACATATATGTAATACTTAGTAAGGGAAAAAAATCAAGTAGGCATTACGCGCATACGTGTTAAGTGGTAGAATGTTATTGTAAATTAATGATGTCGAATTCGTATGCGATATTTTAGTATATAATTTTTTTTATCGCACCGGTTAAATATTCGAATCCAGGGAGAGGACAGGAATAAAGGCAGTTTCAAGGTCCTTATAGAAAAACGTATGTTCTCTTTAGCCAGTGCTGGTTAGTACCTCTCATTGAATGTTGCTGGACGCTGACGAAGCCATGTGTAATGATAACCAACGTGTAAGCTGATTTTTATTATTATTAATGAATGTCAATGCTTATATTAAAAATTGACTGCTCACATTATAGCAAGCATACATGAGACATGTCTATTTGTTTGCTTACCAAACTATGAGACACATTTATAATATTTTCTGTACTAATGCTTATCAGAGTAAATGACTTTGTTGTGATTTGTTTTTCACGTTTTGCGTCCGATACTTGACCTTAGGCATTCTCTCAGACGGCTGGCCTTTGCCATCATGAAGTGTGTTTACGTTCGGATTCGGACGTAGACCACCACGTATCCCTTATTTTAGTAGGAAAACGCATTATTCGTCCGACAATGTGATTAGTTAGGGTCAGCGTCACATATTTTTTCTGTTTTTGAATTGCGCTTGTTTATCTATTCTCGAGTATAAATATGTTTTAAAATATAATATTAGCCAGCAATTTCATGTAATGGGTTATTAAACAATAACCGGTTACTGAAAAGTATTTTATCAATCATTAGCTTACGTTATAAGATTCTAAAACATTAATCCTGCTACAGCTCGCCCCTATCGTTGATTCCCGTATTATAAAACTTCGGAATTGATTCTTTATACTTACTGTATGTTATCATTTCAAAACCGTGTGATCGTCAATCAGTGTGTTTTTTTTATGAACAGAGAATTGTCCGAGACATTTATATGTTTATAATTTAGTGTTATCACAAGTATTGTAGCAATTTGGTATTTCTGCGTCTCACTAAAGATAAAATTTTTTTGGAGGGTCTAAGGATCACATTGATTAATACGTTGATTGAGTGGCACCTTTTGTACTTTCTAAGAACACTATGTACAATATATGTGTTAATATAAAAACCTGTGTTTTTTTCTAAGTTGCTGTTCTGAATCCTGCTGATCAGAATTAGAAACCAATTTTCTTTGATCCTAATATGTGGACTAGTATATGTTATAAAAGAAACGCTTAAAAAATTATTTCTGCACATAATGATTTGCAAAGAACATTTTTATATGCACTTTGTTCCCAATATAAATTGTCGATTCGGATTAATTGTGTTATGTTAATGTTGACCGTAGTTTTTCGTTGTTTATGCTGGCCGATTTCTTGTAGGCAAAGAGAAGCCGTCAATGAAACAAGTAGAGTCAAATGCGTCAAATTTCATCAAAACACTTCAAGGAGTCGAAAATGGTCTGTCGAAGCACATCATCTATCTTACTCAGGTCTCAACGGTTCAACCTCACGAAGGCAGCAGTTACGCCGCTCAAAAGGTAAAATAGAATTAGTGATATTGATGTCCATACACTGATTTTATAAAATCCCGGTAAAGCATCAATTGCCTTATTTTGCCTCACGATGAGTGAAGAAAACCATTTACATATGTATTCTTATTAATAATAACCTTGAGCCCTACCTATATGACAAAACCTTAAGGCGATTGGCTTTGACCGTGTTTCTCGCCAGTCAGTGAGCGCATTCGGCAATTTTCCTAATTAGCGACTTTCATCCTTGCCATAAAAAGCAACTGGATGCAATCGAATCTACAATCTGGCATAAGTGGAGCACTTGATTCTTTCCGCCTGCATGACTGTAATTCAAATACTACGCACAAGCATAAGTGTTTAAATAATGTGGTATTAATAATTGCACATATATTTTATAAGATGCGAGGAGACACAGATTTAGCTATACTTCTGTTGAAAGACGTTTACCTCAGTGTATCACATTGTATTTATATGATATAATTTTCGCGGTTTTCATTTTTTATTCACAGGTGTTTCATATGGCATTACATCGTCTGGAACATGCCCGGTCGCGAATGAATGAGCTGGAGCGCCTTCGACAGACTCATCTGCAGCAAGACGCGCAGCACAATCCACCAATGCCACCGCAGATGGCTGGTGGCCAGCAAGGACAACAGCAAGGCCCTATGGGTGGTCAGGCAATGGGAGCTCAAAGCCAGATGGGCGGTAGTCAAAGTTCTATGGGAGGCGGGCAGGGTCCTCAGGGAATGGGTGGAATGCAGAGTCCTATGGGCGGAAGCGGCATAGGACAGATTGGACAGAGTCCAGGTGGACCTTTGGGCGGTTCTATGCAGGGCAGCCAAATGGGAATGTCACCAAGCCAGGGTCAAATGGGTGGACCCATGAATCAACAAGGAACTATAATGGGACAGCAAGGTCAAATGGGAGGTTTAGGTGGCGGCCAAATGTCTGGTATGGGACCTATGAGCCAGCAAAATTCTATGGGACAGGGCGTTCCTATTGGCCATGATCAGTACGGAGGTTCAGGCATAATGGGGAATGCTCCAGGTCAGATGGGTATGCGACCACCTGGACCCGGTGGCATGATGGGTCAACAACCTCCAATGGGTGGAATGGCTGGAATAGGAGGAATCGGTGGCCAGATGGGGCCTCAAGGACTGTAGCGAAATTCTTGTAGCGAAACAAAATACTAGCTTTTGGCCAAGTGATTCACAGTTTTTGAACATAACGAACTAATCGTTGAGGTTGAGTCAAACTAATGGCGGGAAAATGTCACAAGTGTGTCAAGTGTGACATCTGTTTATTGTATATAATAGCTGTCATGTCTTACTAAGACGTAAACGAAATAAAGCGAAAAAAGGACACGCACATGATATATCCCAGTACAACATTGTGTTTACTGAAATTTATTATGTAAGTACAACAGTGTTTGACTTATCTAATAACGTCAATCAGTTTGTATTTAATATTTAGATAAATAGTACGCTTGAGTTGAAAATTAGTGACATCCTTGTTCTGTATCAAGAACACTTGCTCGTGTTCTATCTGTTTTATTACAAAAGACAATTATCTTTTGTAATAACTTTGAATTTGGTATTTTCCTCACATACACACACAAGCGCGCATGCGAAGCACAAACTGATTCGCCTCGGTTACTTGGTGGCGTTTAGGACAGGGTGGGTAGGATAATACTCGACAGTGGCTAGAGATTCTTATGTGGTCGTTATCGCTCGAAATTTTCTAGGTCGTCGTTAATGGAACAAAACGGCCCTGCTAATTGTACTTTGTTCTCATTGAAGGACAATGTCTTCTGCTCGCCAGGTACGAAATGCTTTGTGTACAACATGAACATTCCGTGCATAATCCGCGATTTCACTACATTGAGCAACTTAACACTCTTCCTCCGTAGTTGTAGAAAAACATTGCATCGGTACTCCGGACTGGAATTGAGTGGAAGTTAGCTTCATAGCTGGCTAGTACCACCCGCCCTTTACTACTGCAAGTGAAGTATAATTCGAGCGTTGACTGTGGGGCCAGCCTTATATTTCCAATCGTCGCTAGTCGCGTACTCAAGCACAAAATTATTTCCAGCAAACTGTACCGCTTTCCGAAGACGTTCACCGATCGCCCGAATTTCATCGCGATGACGGTCGAAATCGGCTTTCACCCAGAGCGAAACTCGGTCCTGATTTTTACGTGCGGAGTAAGTAGCCCCATTGACAGATGGAGCAAGATTGTCGAACTGATCTCCTATAAGCAACATAGCAACCTCGGTCCATACTGCGTCCATTTCTGGTGAACGTGTACGACGCTCACGTAGCGTTATCGACCACATGCCGCCCTAAAAGTACAAGAAGGCTAAACAGATTATTATTACAATAAAATTACTCTTAATTATCATTAAGGATAATTACTATTATCATCATGGCATAAGTTGAGCCAAACGTAGATGCCTTGTGGCAAGAGTCAGATCCTGTAAAGGAATTCTTACCAAGGACATGCATATACGTTGTTAAGTAGTTTTGACTAGTAATATATATATATATATATAAATGGGGTCCCATTGTGGCAAACTTATTTTGCTGACACCGTCCTCCTTAAAAAATTTTTATGTCCAAGCAAAAACGCTTGACAAGGTACACTTGTAACAAACTAAAGATATTGAATTTTAAAGTGACACACGTGATCAGTATTATTTTTGATGCCAAAAATAATATTGTAACCTAGAATGAACATAAAATTGCATTTCGATGTCTCAGTTTGCAGATCATATATATATAGTCATATTGATATTTCGATAATGCTAAATTGGTCTTGTCTGCCCAGTCACAAAAACATTCCTCACTTTCGCATCCGATACACATATGCAAGACTAATGTTGCTACAAGTCACAAATCCATTCTTCGCCAATACGCAAAAATAACACTTCGTATGAATAAAATATTGGCAGAGTCTCACAACATCAAATAACTAACCCCAGTATTATGGACGTCTTCCCATTCTGGTCGGATGCCTTTTTTGAAAAGATTGAAATCACGGCCAGGCTGGAGATTCGACGGTTGAATCGTATGGTTGTACATAGCCCAAAAATCCTCAACGGTGTCAAACTCCCAAAGTCGGAGAAGGTTTTCCTGCCAGGATTTCTTTTTGTCTCCCTACAAGCAGAAAACGCGACAACATTATCAGAAATGGGAATTTTAATATGACGATCACGCAAAACACTGAAATAGTGCAGACTGAACTGTGCGGCATCCTAAAGCATATTTAGTTTTTCAAGTATGTACTGGACACCGAGAGCAAAAATAAAAGTGCCAGATGGAAGATAGGTTTTCCATCTGGTACATTCCAAATAAGGCTACTTACTTGATAGTACCAGAAGACCCATACATCTTGTAAAGGATGCTTGGTGCACGCCTCTGAAGCTGACTCCTTAAAGGAATACGTTTTTTCAGCCTCTGTCGTTTGATCTCTTCCACTCTCGGAGATATCCTTGAACGACACAGATATACCAGTCGCGACTTCATTATTATATCGTGGTGGAACAATTGCTTCCTTGATAATGAATCGGTTTTGGAGGATCGAATCACCCGATCCATCGTGATGGTGCTTGATGGGCGGAGGTGAACTAGGTACGACGACATCATCATCGGTAATATACTCCAGATCGGGTCTGAAAAAATTGACTTATTATGACTTCAGTTAAGTATAACATTGGATATTTTCACGGACAACTTTTGATTACTATTTTCACTATGATCATCGTCTATTAATTCCAACTTTATTGGCCAATAACGAACGTATCTCAAGGATCAATATTATATAGGTGTAATATTTTCTTAGCCAGAACCAAAAAAAAGTATGCTTTTCCAGTCGTATAACAGAAGAAATGTATATTCAGCTATCGTTCCAAGTGTTGATCGACATCAAAAAGAGAATATATACACATCAAATATATTAAGCTAACTATATGTACGAGTCATTGCTATTGTGATTGTCAAAGAGATGTTTTCTGCGTTTCTTTTATTTTCAACAACTTTGGCTGGCAATGTTGGTTTGTTAGGTATGCAGACAATATTGGTGTATCAATCGTTATTTTATATTTTCTATGTGCATTAGTATCTTATTTCTTACTACACTATATCTCATTTGTAATAAGTCAAGATTATAATAGAAGACTAAATTATAGCTAAGCATAATTCGTTCGTTCGTTTTAGGAGTAGGAAAATTAAAACCTATCTTGTATTAGGTTAGTCAAAATGTAATGAGTTTATTATGTTATATACTTATTCTCGTTTTTACCTCTCAGTTATTTCTTGTTTGTACATAGCATTCGAAAACGCTTTCTTTATGGTACATATTCGTTTTGTGATAGCCGGACTTGTTATTTAATCTCCAAAGATAGACTTAACACGTGAGAAAAAAGTTATTAACGGTTTATTTCTCCTTTAACTAATGTCAAAAAGTTACTTAAGCAGCCATCGTCTGGACCTCACATTTGACTACTGAAAGGTAATATGGTTAGTTCAGAAATAGCACTTTAGGCCTGTACAGTGCACTTCGCTTCGGTAGACTACGTGGAGTCTTTTATATGTAGAGAATAGGTAAAGGCACCATTAAAACAAGGCGGCCGATAAATAATTCTTAGATTGGCTGCGAAGATAAACTACCGATTATGCGATTGTTATCAGCCATTCTCGCTCGGTGGATTTCTAGCAAAATAGGAATTCGGGTATTTTATAAACCAGGTGAAAAGTACAAAGAAACATCGATGTTTAATATTTCTCAACATATTGTGCGTTTCCTGGATATGGTTAGAAACAACTGTTATGGATAACGAGAAGTAATGTTTTTAGCCTAAGATGAAGCAGAAATATTAAAAGGTCTAGGACATAGATTCAAGCCGAAGGCAAACTAAATCCCCACCTGAAGGAGACCATGACTTACGACTGATGGAACTGGAAAGGTCCGATGCACAGCGAACTGACTCGGAAAAATAAGAGGAAAAATAAAGATTTGTATATAGTCCAGCTGCACCAAATTAATAAGACTATCCAACAGAATTGACAGTACGATTACAGCTAAGTTATTCTTTTCCAATATAATGCCAGACCACATATGGCAACGGTTGTTAAAGCCGCCTTGCAGGACTTATTTTGTAAGGTTTTTTTGTACGCGCTATATTATCCAATTTAGTCCCGACGACTTTTTACCGGTTAATAAAAGTCGTAACAATATATTTGAGAGCAATTAGAACCTGAAAAACTGACAGGACGACCTCCTTAATAACCGGCCAAAAATTTTCCTTTTGGCGAGAGAGTAAATTGAGTGTGGACTAAGGCCGTACAGAGTCACTATCATTACATAAATGACTGATAATTTGCTGCCACAATTCGGCCAAACCGCAGTTTTTAGGTGAAACTTTTAATTTCGAATAACCAAACACCTAGCTTCTGTTGAATTTTTGGTTTGACAGAAAAAATAATAGATTATATATATATATATATATATATAAGAAAGATTCCTGAAAGATTTTATGCAGTAATACCGTACCTTTCACAAATTATTTTCCTAATAACGCCAGTCACAAAGCCGACTAACAAAAATACCAAAAACATTTCTTTTCCAAACAGCCAGAGTCTACTACGGACCATTTTAAGTTACATAGCTTTCTTGTGGCGTGACCGACGATTCACATACATGCGTATATCTATAATACCGCATAGACCCTTTATCTTTTTACATTCATAACAAGTCAATCTGCCTTCTCCTACTATGTAGGCCTAATAACGATAATACTTCATTCTTTAAAAATTCTACATACATTTTTCAACAGCTATCTGAATTAAACCTATGTTCTCTAACACTGCCGATCTTCATCAACATGGTCAGTATATATAGAGCCAACATCTTACCGAAAACGTCATTCTCAACTGTGGTGCATAGCTGAAATAATATTGAAATGCTTACCCTGCAGTTATAATTTATACACGTTTCTTTGATGTCTAGCTATTCATTCTCGTTTCATGTGATTTTTTCATAAAACAGCTTCCGTACCGCTGGCAGGCTCTAGCGCTTGAATAACTTAGTATATTGTATTTTTAATTTTTACTTCTTTTTGTATCGATTGGCATTGACACGCGGCTGTAATATTGGAGCTGATACTCACGTTGCCGTAAATCCACAGTCGTCGAATTCCAAAGTCAGGTCAGGTTCCTCGCGTTTTACTGAAGGTACCAATTGATCCATGTTGGTCGGCATGTGAGGAAGATTATCCACGTCTGGCATGATAGTTGGAACTTCCATTATGGTCGACTTTTGCCTTTTATTCTTCTTCAGGCTCTTCTTTTTGGCCATTATAAATATAATTCTTCAAGTGCTGCTTTTAGCAAGAGAGGTACCTTTATCCCGAAACACCTATTGGTGCTACCTACTAACACTCCTACCAATAGTAAGGAAATTAAGTATCTCAGCTTTGAGCTCTTCTTCAATCTAGCACACACCCTGCAACCTGTAGTCATTCGTCGACCCCTACGACAGGCGCTTGTCTGTACAGCTTCTATTCTATAAGATTTCAAAACCACAACATTTAGCATTCATTAAGCGACCATCTATCTCTGACTAGAACTGTGAACAGAATGGCAGATTTCTATGTGACCAAACTTCGTTCCCTTAACGTACCCGTATCGTAGCACACAGTCGTGTCGCTGCTGCTAGGACGCGTGTAGCCGAGTCTACGTTAGCTTTACCCAAACAAGCTGTATGTGCACTCGTGCAAGTGAAACTTCATGCGAACTGCTAAAGCTTTTTTGTTGGTTTGTCAACAACGATGAAAGTTATGGGCCAACGTTGTGCGGCAACTTTGCACCCATCGGCGATGTTCCAGTCTGTTGTTTCGAATGCAAACTAGATACAAGCTGACAACGATGCTTAAACCTTGCTTGGGTTAAAGCGAATTGACGAAAATTGCAGCACTTAACTTAGCAATATTCTGTTGTTTAGAGGTATTTCGTTGAATAAATCAGAATCTATGATGCATCCAGCCAATAACGAGTCCGTTTTCTAGCCAAACGTAAGTTGAATTATTCTTCCTTGCGAACACAAGTTTTGGCTCTAGCATTAATCGACCTAGCTAAATTCAAAAAAAAATGCAGACATATTTGCGTAGAACTGAACTGAAAATGTGATAGAACGCATTTGCACCTTGTATGATATTAGCGACTTAGGTGATAAATATTCGAGTTCGGACATAGTTTGTCTATTGCAGGCTCCCATTTAAATATCTATTAGAAATATTTTATAATCAGTCGCAAATCCGTCCAGATGGCTCGTATTCACCCCCCTGTAATGGTGCGTACTTAAAATCTGAGGTCGGAAACTGGTTTGAGCTGGCAGAAGCCAGTCACCTGATAATATATTTAATGCTCGTATTAGACTGCTCGTATTGAGCCGGCCTATTTTCGCAACTTCTTCATTTTTTTTATCTGCTACACCGAAGATCACAATGTATTTCCCTTAAAGCTATTGAGATTTATTGTCGCGTTGACTAATTCATGTTGATGGTGCTCGTTGTCGGGACTCGGTTCGTTGTCGTTGCACTTTAGATACTCTGTACAAAATCGTCATATGGATTTTTGGTTGGAGTCAGCCTCTTCAAACCGATGCTACTTTCAAGTTTGTATACTCGAATAAAATTAATTTGAACGTTTTAACCCACCAGCGGTATGGAAGGCAACTCGTAAAGGGGACAGCTGGGGGTTTATTATGGAAGACGTTTGCGTTGTATCGAACAATGAAAATCTTCAAACATTATTGCATAGATATACGAGCTTCGGAAGCGATAGTGACGCCACTGATGAAAGTCGGAATGCAATTAGTAGTCGTACCCTTACAAGAGGACGCACTGTAAAATCAAGCTCATTGAGCACCGCATCATCGCTAGAATCAAATTCAGAGACAAATTTGTCTTCTCTGGCTACGATCATAGCTTCTGTGAGAAACTTCTGTGTCAGTCTGTAGGTTGCAAAAGCTCAAAAACTGAGACTTTTTCTAAAAAAATGTAAAATATTTTCGAAGACGTATTTGTGTGCACCCACAATCGCTGTTCATTGAAGCATACCTAGCAGTGTGTGGAGCATTCGTATAGACACCACCTTTCCCGCATCTTTCTGATTTTAAGATTCGATTTACAGAAAAGATGAACGAATCATTATGAGAACAGTAACAATATAATAAACATTATTAATAATTATATTGAAAATTACTGTAACTCGGCAGTTTATCCTATCCGGCAGCGCTCGATGGGTAATAAAATGACAAATGTCCGACTTCAATATATAAAGTAAGTGGCCTTATTTTGGGTGTAACCCAGTGTTTTGGTAGTCAACAAGCATAGGTCTGAACAAAAATACATTTTAGAAAATATTACAAATAGTACACCAAGTAAAAGCCCAGGAGTTTTAGTGAGGTGCCGTAGTCACTGAATGCTTTAGTGTGATCATAATGGATCTAAGAATATCCGGAGAAGTAGACCATGATATTTTTATATATAAAAAAACGTCAAAAGTGTTAAGTTTTACGAAAACTTGACTATTATTTTTGACTAAAAATATTTGAGACAAAATATATTTGAGAAAGAGTTCTCGCATTACGAATGTCATGTAAACTAGCTACTTGCCTTACTATCAGTTATAATAACAACTTTTATAATTATCGCTGCTGATCTCATTTTGTCGGACTTGTCCAACCATATATTCCAGAACATAACTACGTGTTACGATTATAATCTTAATTAACATCTTTAATTAAGATTTTTTAATCAGTTCTTTAGGAGTTTCCTTGCGTACCCCGTGCACACTTATTTACGGGTTAATATTCTCAGTGTCAGTCAGTATATTTAATACTTTTTTTTATTATAGTACAGTATTTACACAATAAAGCATACTTGTAATAGGTAAAACTGGAAGTTATATAAAAATAAACGTTTCGGGTTTTACTTCCGTAACTACTATTAAACATTATACCGGACGTGTCACCTATATCATACATTGTCTACTTAGAATTTATGAATATTATACCAAAGGAAAAGGAAAGTACTTTCTAAAAACATGGCTTCACTTAGTCGAAGTTCAGGAATTTGTACTTTATGTGATAGTTTTATTTATTTTTTTTTTTGTACACTGAAGTGTCCTTTTAATTTTCCTCGTAAACTTACAAACCAGCTAATGTACTGAACATAATTTGAATGCGCTTGTGTCAATCGAGTTACGCCGCCATCATTTCGACCACAACATTACATCAGCAGGCCTTTTTGTTAACAATGGATGACACAAGGCTAGCGGTATCATGTGTGTATGTATAAAAAGAACTTGTTTTGGCATCGTAGCTTCGTATGCCATAATGTGGCATAGCCAGCGTTCTCACTCGTAGTTCCACTGGCAACTGGCCTCGGTGAAATCTACTCTTGATCCTCTCATTCGCCGTTGCGTTCGTCCCAACGGGATTACTGGGTACCATTGTCATTTTCATCGCTCGAAGACATTCTAAAAGTCGCTCGTAGGGTAGATGGCAGTACGTTCCTGTTGCTGGATTTTGCTTCATAGTACTACCCAGCCACCTAAACTAATACAGCGGTGGAATTGCTTTTGGAGTTGTACCGGTTAGGGGCGTCGATTTTGAGCTTCGCGGGCTTTCTTCGTGTGCTCCCACAGTAGTCATCATACACAACTTATTTATTTGGCGCCCTTTTGTGTCCATAACCAGTTTTTAGAAACGTGTGACTAATAAGGTTGGTTGGCTCGTGTTTGGCATAGGATATTGCTAAAACAGTTAAAGAATTTTAGTTGCAGGTAGAAAATTTAATGACAAATGAGAGGTAATAGGCAGTAACTGTATTGTCATATCGTTGTTCACTCATACAAAATGTGGCCGATATCTAGATTTTAACACGGAGAATAGCTCAGCAGGCTCCTTCTCCTCTGTATGTTACTATTATTACTTAGTGCGCTTTTCACTTGAAACATTTTTGCTATTTAGCTGTCATATTGCTACAAGCTACGTCACTCAAACTGCGTTACGTGCAAAATATGTGTACTTTTGAGCGCATGGAGTCGTCCAAATGTCGTCACGCGGCACTCCCTTAGAGACGTTTTCAATGTAAATCACCAATTCCTGTCTTAACTAACAGAGATCCTAGCAGCTGGTACTATTGCTGCTATCACCTACACAAATTCAAAGGGATTTGGCTAGAGCCGCGAGAAGATTACTGCCCACGCATCCTTTGTGGAGTAACCAACAGTATCCTTATTTTTCGATACGCAGATGGAGTAATATAGTTTAAAAGATGGAGTTCCAGCTCAAACAGTAGGTCGAGTCCACAGGGCCGAAAGTTTTTTTTCGATGACATGGCGCCAATCGAAAATAGGCCGTGGCCGATTCCTCAACCGTTCTGTCGTAGCGGCGACCCGACTCGCTCGCTGCTTTGTAAGTCTTATGCGTTTGGATATGGGGCTGAGCGCGTAGATGCCTCTTACTTATCTATTTACCGCGTTCCCAACAAAAAACAGCATGTCACTACGGAACAGTGCCCCTATGCTTCAAAGCGGCCACAGTGTTTGGTTTGCGGCTTCGTTCATATAACAGCGGTCACCGTACTCCGCAATATACGCAGACGGCAAAGCGGCTCGAAAAGATGGTTTTGCGCATAAAAATGATGCCTGTTCCCCTATACGATATGTGAGTGAGTGCAATGTAGAAGCAATGTTTTTGCCATCAGAGAATGAGTATTTTTTCGTTGTTATTGTTGCTTCTGTTGCTACTACAGTTTCTTTCCGCAATGCTATAAGTGTGATAAAATTATCTATCGTTACTTCTCTGTGTTTCTGTTTTTCCACGTATGTAACGTAGATGTCCAGCATATATCTCTTTATAGAGCCATCGGGTTTGTCGCAACGCACAGTGCCTACGAGTGGTATTATCGAACAAGCAATAAAGTCCTTTGTCTCTCGTCTGCGTTGCACCGCTTTAAAGCCTCATGAGAATTCGTAGAGAGGTGGATTTTTACGCCATGCCGAAGGTTATTGCGTCTCGCTGCACCCATCTGTATAGTTGGCTGGTTTATTTGTTTGAGTGACGCAAAGAAGGACTTGCAGGCCAGGAGGGACTATAGCCCACAGAAGCTGTTGACTCCTGTGTCAAACAGGCTGTGGATAGAGAAGGGGCCCGCAGTGTACAGTAAGTGTGCATATAGTAACGCTTTAAATAGTGATACTCTTTTCTTGTTCTGGTTGTCTCAGTATGGATGGCAAAGGGCACCCGAAGTTCGAACGCGACGGTGCAGGATAAATTGGCCTGGGCGCTGACTTAAAGTTCACCAGTGGATACTCTGCCGAGGAATGGCTCGTGTGGGGAACGGAGGCCAGGATGGCGCGCAGCAACACGGTGATACTGAAAGTGATCTGAAGACGCAGTGAGTGGGTTTGCTGCTGGCTCATCAAAAAGTGTCAATCATCTATACCATAGCTAAATTTACCCGTTGCTTGAATGGGAGACATGCCGATTATCTCTAGTCGATATCAAACTTTCCATTGTCATATCGCGCCAAGGCTAATGAGCGTCGAAAG